CATGGAAACCCATGTACTGACAAGGATGGCCATGCGAAGGCTTTGTCGTCATCCTCACCCCTACGGTGCACCACGCCTGATAACGAGGGACGCCATTGCATTTTCTATGGCATCTTCTAATACAGGTGCTGCTCGAGCCAACATGTTCGGTCTGATAAAAGGACAAAATAGCATCCCACGCCCACAGAGGCCGACCCATAAGAGCAAAAAGCAATACATGATCCCATATCTACCACAAGGACACCGAGTGACAGTCTGACTTCCAACGGCTAAGGCAGTAATCATCAAACGCAATTGATAGGGCCATGATAGGGCTGACCACACTGTCGCATATGAATCATAGCTGCCAACGATGCTTTACACAAAAGAGCAAAGCACCATCCCGTTCTACCCATAGCAAATAAACATCCACCATATCAGTAGTAGCTGCCATCAAGCGACCTTCCTGGGTAGGCGTCATTAGAGACACATCATGCACTGCGACAAATAAATCCGGTCTTGATGAAATAGCACACACGAGGATATGCCCAAAGGTATCCGTACAGGTACTTGAGGAATGATATCCGCCATGGCACCGATAACAAAGATTGCTCAAAGATCCATCCATAAAGAGACGACTTGCAGATAGCTGAGCACTGGAGTAGTACTTGACAACAACAGCCATAAGATAATAGAAGTTGTTGCAGACTCACACAAAAGGAATGTTTAATACTTGATAACGAGAACTATCGAACGATGTAATACGGCCTGCTGATACTGAAAGATGCCAAAGACGATGCTGCTTGATCCTAACATGGTTCACCTATAATAGATGCACCGTAAACAATTCTCCAAACATGTAAAACAACACTTAGCAATGATAGCTGTAATCCTGGGGACTTCAATGCAAGATGATCCACCTAGAAAGACGCACTCTCAGCAAGAATACTTCCATCTCAAAGACATTGGAACGATACGTACTTGAATCTCTCAATTCAGGGTGCAACCAGAAATGATAGCAATAAATAAAGGCACAATGCCAAAGAATGCCAAGGTACCTGCACTGCCTACTAGCCCCTTCCCGAAGGAAGCATGGTGCCAAAACACCGGATTTAACGGTGACCTGAGCCCCTCACCAGTCGACTTTGGCACAACCTGAGCCGTGGATCCGCATGTTGCAACTGCGAACAGAGGATGCGTATTTAAATTGGTCTTGCCATAGCACCGTGAGCACATGTTTCCACACGAGGTGGTAAGGGCAACATGGTCTCCCCAAGACAGCACACAGTACAATAGCATCCTTGACGTGCCCACGTGATCTAGCAGAGCAAAAGCCTTCTTGATCCTACCATCACACACCTTCCATTGTAAGTGCACATCCCATAACGATCACTCTTACCTTGTGGTACTTCAATAGTATCCTTCCTTCAATAAGAGCCGTATCTCCATGCCATCCATATCTCCATGTCAACCATATCATGATGCCGCTGCTATTCCATTGTAAAAGCTCGTTAATTCAGAGCACTTGTATTGTAGATCCAATGTTATACATACCAATGAATCTTGCCGCCGGCAATAATAGCAATAATAATAGCGCACTGCCAAGGAATGTAGTACCCGCACTGCCTTCTAGCCTCCCGTAGGAACGTGGCGTCAAAACACCGGTTTTAACGGTGACATGAAGCCCCTCCCCAGCCGACTTTGACAACCACTAGCCGTGGGTCCAGCCATGTTGCCAAGAAAGACACCCATCGTCTTCCAAGTCGAGTAAAGTATAGCAGTGCAATGATGGGAAGCATATACTTTGTTCTCCACGAAAGGTCAGAGGGTGCATTTTTAAACTGAAGTCGCACCGTGAGCCCAACGTAATATCCGCGTACCACAACATGACCTTCCCCCTTAAGACAGTACACTCCATCCCTTGACGTGCTGCTGTGATAATAGTAATCGCCGAAAGAGAGCCTATTTCTTTCATCAGTGCACTTGAAGGTGACAAATCCTAAAATGATCACTTTACCTTGAGGTGTTCCCAATACCATTCCATTGTTGCTTGCAAATAACCTTTGTATTCATCCGATCCAGTATGTGCTGCTGCTGTTTCGTTGTAAGGCTCATTAATTAAGTGGTCCTGCATTGTAGATCCAATACCATACATACCATTGAACCAACGTACAGCGTTCTTCCTTTGAGATCAATATCTTGTCACTGTCCACAGGTACCATCATCCAACAAGTCGATCTACCATGAACACAATGTGAGATACCAAGGAAAACCAATCTAAACGCATTTTCTTGCCAACATACCCAAAAGAGGCAGTGTAAAGAAGTGTTGTTGTGGACAACTTGGAAATGAATACACGCGACGCCTCCATTAGATCTTGTAAACGAGAGAACAGCAATCTACACACGAGCTTCAGCACGACAATGTCAAACTTGAGCAGTAAAAGCGCTGCAGCGATTGACCGTACCTGTTGTACGGGAATGGAAGTTTGAAACATGGGTAGATTGCGCGCGTGCTTGTTGTAGTTGAAAGAGTCGCCATTGACCACTGGTTCACCCATCTAGGTCTTGCATTAAAGAGCATGACAGGAGTTAATGCGCTGTACTTCGTCAATGGAGTGTGTCTCACCTTGAATGTGTAAAATGGGAGTGGAGAAAGGTGGGATGGATTCTTTTTAGTGCCTCTCGTCGTCCTTGATACAGCCACCCAGCCCCCCGCAGCTCCTCTTGTGGATATGCATACATGTACACCTCGATCAGTATGGATCAACTACTAGTCCCTCGTTATGTATCTCTGGCAAAAGTGACACCATCCTTGGTTATATGCAGCTAAACTCCTGAACTTGGAACATCCAATGTGTAATCCTGCATCAAATGTGGACCAGTGGACGTGTAAATACTCAAATATGGTATGCGTGTATAAAGCAATTGTCCCTGCCATCATGGATAGCTTTCTCATCAATCGATAGCTTGTGTATGAAGAACTAACATTGCCCAAGATTATCATCACCATCTGTTTGTGTAACCTGTCAACAACATGTGTAACCTTATTTTGCTGATAAGATCTCCTCCAAATCAAGTGTGCCACACTACATATAGCACTGAATGGCATTTTTCGTACCTAATACTCATCTACCTTGAGTGTCCACATTTAACATAGGCACGGGTTACTTATCGTCACTCGTCGCATAGGCAGTTAAAAATCAACTTCGATGTACATTTCCTTGCATGGGCGACAATAGCTCTCACGCCCAAGCACTTATAGACAAGGATGTTGTCATCATATTATCACACATCTCTTTCGTTTATCGCATCTATCATCAAGAGCCTGTTATTCAATGAATACTAAGGAGAGTTGATTAAGTATTTGTAATGGGTCAGAGTACATCGTGCGTTGCTCTTTGGATCATCTCTTTAGTTCCTCACTAATTTATTCCATGTGCCATTGTTGTCTTTGTGATGCCAATCTTATTCCCTGATGGATCCTTTGTGATATATGTTTGGGCTTCATCTGGGCTTCAAGAAAGGATGGGCCGGGCGGGTGGTGCAAATAGCGGGCTGAAATTTGGGGGGGAGATACGTGGAGTTGCACAAAATCGGTGTCTGCAAATGACCTTTTGCTTGAGAGTACGGCCTTTGAGATATCACAAAGACTATGAATGACTGCCCATGGCCATTTTGCGTCGTTTTCTAGAACAGTGATAGTCGTAAGTGGGTCATTGTTAACATGGCACACGCATGGTATAAAAACTAAAAGTCGTTTGACGAGTGTATCGGTGTTGCAATTTCTATACAGGAGCGATGAGATGGGCGAACCACAAGTTACGCTGCAACCGCTTTCTCCTCTTCCCGACGAGGTGACTTCTTTAACTAAATCAAGTAAATCAAGGAAGCAACATATTGAGCGTTTGCTCGGTAGCTTTTTAAAAGGTACCTATAGCTTCGTTTAAGGACGCTTTCGAGAATGAAAAACAGTTCACAGTCTCAAAACATTGATCATTCGTTATATAAGATCAATATTGCAGACCATGAACAAATTCATTATCTTCTTATTACTGCCCCACCTGAGAACACTGCTATGTATTGCTTTTGTGCTGCATGGCTATACCATTGCTATCATGCGGAAAAGTGTTTTTTATTAAAGACTTGGATAAGAAAAACCAAAGTACTGATTGCGTTTTATTCAAAGTCGGCCACACATGCATTCCATTTAACTAATTCCCTTTATTACTATAATGAGTGCAAGCATTTTCCAGCCACTCTATCAATAACCATTCCATTTATGGGTTCAATCGGATGGCATATGGGTTTGAGAAATCCTATGGGAATGATCGGGCAGTCAATTTGAGTTTCCGTGCATTCATCGCGTGATGATAATGATAACACACCTGACAGTTACTCGCAGTGACACTTTTCGATGATCATCCCCACGTTTAGCCTCTCCATGAAATTCTCGCACTGGATCATTACCTCGCACCACCTTCCCAAATACATACAACCCTTCCTCGGAGCTCGCCTTAGCCGGCATTTCCCAAACCAGTCTGGTAGACTTCAAAAGGAGAGGTAAGGAAGCTCTTCCCAGCAATTGAAGGTGCAAGTTCCCGCCAGCAGTCAAAAAGGGGATCCTCGAGTAACCATAGATGACCATCTTCGGTTTTAAAAAATGGGGTACTTACCTTCATATCACACAACGTGAGTAATAAATGATCACCTTAAGGCTTAAACGACAAGTTATCTAAAAGAATCATGAGGCACCATTTGAGACAATTAATGCGGAAAAGACATGCTGCAGATACCTTTTTGCCAATATGGCCCGATTAATTAGAAGATACAAAGACACATACGTTTAAGCAGCTTTGGCTTATCTAATTCAGTCGCTTTTACTGAGTGATGCGAGCCAAAAAGACCGATTACGGGGAAAGGACTTGAAGTGCCGCCCGTACAGACATTCAATTTGCGTGACTGGATTTACTCTGGGCGGCTTCCTTGACAGCGCCTAAATTACATCTTGTACTGCTTAAAATGGCTCCCGTAAAGCGTAAAGTACGATCGCAGCCGATCGCCGTCAAAAAGGTAAAAACTGAGTCCAGATTCGCTTTGTAAAACACAATGCTAATATTGATTCAGGCAAAAACGGTTGAAAAAGCAGTAGACGTCTCGGACACTGACTCTATCGGCGATGACGGACAAGATCTTATGGCAGCAGCGCAGCGTGGAGAATTTGACGAGGACGAAAGTGAAGCTGGCGAGTGGGAATCGCAATCGGATGAGGATGCTATGGAGGAAGAAGCAATGGATGTCGTATCAGGAAATGCTGTCAAGAAGCCTTCCACTGGTGCGGATGATTTTGTGGCTGGTGAACTCGAAGGATTGAAGGAAACAGCAGAACTCTATAAATCAAACATTTTCAAGCTTGAGGTAAGTTCTTGGTTCATAGGTGCTGTAATATATATCGATATTTATACATGCATTTACCTGTAGATTGATGAGTTACTCGCTGAAGTCGGGGTCGATTACGAGAAACACAAACGACTTTTGAACGCATTGCGTGCAGTCAAATCCATCTTTGAGAAGGAACCTGACACCAAGGAGCAGCTGGTAATAACAAATGATAAAACTAGATTGGGAAATAATCAGTCGCTAATTGCATGTATGGTGGCTAGTTGAATGATTTCATCAAGAGCATGGAAAAGAAGCACAAGATCGTTGTACCAATACTTGATAGTCCTCCTCCTCAAGATTCGCAATACAAATTCATGTATCAGAAGCCTTCGTCCGTGAATGTGATTGGTGGTTATGCGTTAAAGACCATTTGCAAATTGAAGAAACCATTCAGCGTTGATGTGGCTGTGGAAATGCCATCAGTAAGCTATATATCATGATCAAAGACAAATGCCATATCTTACCATGTATATATTGTATAGGCTATTTTTCAAGAAAAGGACTACGTGAACAACCGCTACTTCTATAAGCGTGCCTGCTATTTGGCCGTCCTTGCACGCGCGATCCGTAAATCCAAGGTTGGATTGACCGTTGAATTTGGTATGCTTAATGGTGATGCCCACCGCCCTATCCTACTTGTCAAGCCTATTGGAGGTATGTATATATATATATTTCGTACTTTGTTCATTTACGAGACTGACCGAGAATCGCAGATAAATCTGAGCTGGATTTTACCAAGACCAAGTGCATGATTCGAATTCTACCATGTGTTCCTTCTGATGTCTTTCCCTTGCATCGATTAGCCCCGGGGAAAGCGAATGTGCGACACGTTGATTCAGACGATGAAGTGCATAGGCCCACTCCGCTATATAATGCCTCTGTCTTGATGGATACCACGTTGACGGCCAACTCTGCCTTTCTATATCAGCACAGCAAGAGCTGTGAAGGTTTTCGAGATGCCATAAAGCTGGGTCGTATTTGGCTTCATCAACGAGGGCTGGATATGAGTCAAACGGGGTCTGGCTTTAATACTTTCTTGCTTGCCATGATCATGGGTTATCTACTCCAAGGGGGACTTCCTGGAGGAGGACGTAAATTATCGACATCTCATAGCTCGTATCAACTTTTGCGAGGCACGCTTGACTTCCTAAGTAAGTATTAAGGATGATTGTAATGAAAAAGTGGTACTGATAAGTAAATAGGTACACATGATTTTGAGAAGGACCCTGTTTTTATTGGCAAATCGGATCATGACAACGTAAGAATACCACTGAAACTTGAGTCAGTGATATTATCCGTTCCCTAACACTGCGTTTATAGTTCGCTGTTGAGAACTTTACGAATCACTATCAAGTGGTGATCGTCGATCCTACCGGTACTGTGAACATGGCAGCACACATGAGCAAATCTTCCTTAGACCAGGTAGGACATGTCGTAATAATTTGAATCAGAATCTTACCTTTTTTTGTTCTTTTTAGTTGCAACATGAGGCCAAGTTGGCAATGTCATATCTAAACGACACCGTTGATCGATTTGAAGCGTTGTTCCTTCAAAATGTGAACGAAGCAGGATTAAGATTCGACAACTTTATGACACTTTCAACATCTTCAACGACTGTTTCATCTTACGACGATCATGCGAGATCGGAGTACCCAATCTATTCAGAATACCTTGTCCAACGCATTGGCAATGTCTTGAAAAAAGGATTGACGAATCGGGTGGATCTTGTGGCTGTGCAAAGGAATATCGAACATACATGGGGCATACAATTAAAGCCAGCATCATTATCGGCTCAAACGATCAATATCGGATTTGTATTGGATCCTGACAATGCTCCACGACTCGTTGACCAAGGGCCTGACGCTCAAAAGACAGAGGAATGCGAGGAATTTCGTGAGTTTTGGGGTGATAAGGCAGAATTGCGTCGTTTCAAGGATGGAAGCATCGTGGAAAGTGTTGTTTGGAATTACCAAGGATACGAGAACAGAAGTGCAATTGTACAAAAGATTGTACAACATCTGCTCAAGCGACATTTCGATATCAGCGAAGAACATTTGCACTACTGGGCGAATCAATTATATCCTTTTCTACATGTACCCAAGTGCGTACCAAACAACGTATTCGATCGTCGTCTCGAGATCACTGGATTCCAACCTGTCATGACAGCATACAATGATTTGGCAAAAATGTTTCGGTCCATCGACGGGGAGCTACCGCTTTTAATCAGCAATATCTATCCTTGCTCAGCTGCCCTTCGTTATTCATCACCTATTCTTCCGCATGCAGTTGATTTCAATACTTTGGTGACCCGGCCAACGATTGGACGATACATTGATCCAATCGATGTGATTGTACAATTAGAGAGATCGAGCAAATGGCCGGATGATATGGATGCATTGCAAAAAGTCAAAGCAGCTTTCTGTCTTAGGATGTCAGATCTTCTTAGGAAACGACGAGCAACTGAATCCGTCGTGGTGGATGATCATACGCTCACAAACGAATTGGAGGCTCGTGGATATCTGGACGTATACTTTGAAGGCTTTGTTTTCCGATGCCATTTGCATGTACCTCATGAAGAATTGATTCTCAAGAGTATTGTCAACAAGAACGATGGACTTGTAAAGGAGAAGGCACAAAAGGCGCTCCAAAAGCACCAGTACCAGTTTCATCATCAACAACTTCATACATTTCACATTCAAGCTTTGTGCGCCAAGTTTCCTGCATTGTCTGCCACCATTCGCCTTGTGAAACGATGGTTCAGCACCCATCTCTTATCATGTCATGTGACCGATGAGCTTATTGAACTCCTTTGCGCATATGTATTTTTGGATCCCCATCCATGGACCCCACCAACATCCCCTATGACCGGTGCCGTGCGTGTATTAAACCTCCTGGCAACGTGGAGTTGGCACAAGACACCTCTTTTGGTAGACATTGAGCAAGAATTAACAACCAGCATGCGCGACGAAGCATTCAAGAACTTTACAATGTTGCGTCAAAGGAGTCCACAAATGAATCAGGGTGCCATGTTTGTGGCCACTGCCAAGGATCTGCAAGGTGTGCGCTGGTCGCAGTCTAGGCCTAACAAAGCAATTGCTGTTCGCATACAAATGTTGGCAAAGGAATCATTGAAGGTTCTGGAAACTGCATTTTCACTCAATGATGTGAAACGTATCAAAGTAAGGAGTGGGAACACTTATGACGACGAATGGAAGAGACTGATTATCCCTATAGGGCTTGTACACTACGTCAATGGCAGATTATCATGCAGTGATTCAGCTGAAGACATCACGATGCACAAGATATTATGAAAACGTTCATGCACACAAAAATCATTTTGCAAAGATGGGCAAACCAATTCTAGGTGAAGAACCCTATGTAGGATTTGATCCTGTGACGGAATTGGTAAAGGAGATAACGGTAAGAGATTTCAATGATGTTGTCATAGCCACAGAAAAAACTAATTTCAGTTGATAGAATGTATATGGTGACGCATTGTTGGTATTCTATGACAAGCACGGCGGTGACAAAATTGCATTGGTCTGGGATCCTCAAGTAACTGCAGCTAAGCAATGGCGAGTGGGTCTTGGATTAAATACTGTACCCGCAGATATGAACGAGGATGGGGTATTGGTAAGTTTTTATTATCAACACATGTATCTACGTATACTGATACTAATTAAACATTGAATTAAGGTTCCTTCGAAAGGCAACAAGAACGAGATATCCAAAATGGCGACAACTAACTTCAGTGCGATTTTGAAAGAAATTGAGAGGTTAGGTGCTGGTCTTGTTGAATCAATCACGAGCTCTGCTACCTGAGTTGTAAAATCAAATAAAGTCGTCGAATGTACCTAGTTTTTTCCTTAAGTGCAACCTATGGACTACTATTTTGCAAAGTTCAAAAGGACTATCGTACCACGCAAAACACAGGTTACTGGTGCCATGCAGTTGGCCAAGTTCCAGGATTGCTGGAACGACGTACACGTGAGCAAGATGACAAATCTGCTAATGTGCAACTACGAACACTCATCACAGTATTACCATAGAGTGTCTTGATGGTGGAGGATCGCAAGGCGCACATGCACGTTGAGCAGACTGATATTCCTGAACGACTTCAGCAAATGACCGATATGCTCGTGGATGAAGAAGCACGGCAAGATGACGATGCGACAGGAGCATGTATGGAATATGGTGACTGCATGGAATACTTGCTCAAGAATCAGCTGTTACGGCGACTTGTCAATGTGGCGGAGAAGTCTGATCATCCTGTGGGGATACGTGGAGAATTGATACGAACGATAGCCAACATGGTTGATTTATTGGGATACTGGTTCTTGGAGCATAAAGAAGTACATGGTCCGACCATCAAGTTGCTACGATTCTGTGTGATTGATCAACGTCAAAGTGATATATACCACGAGGATTTGGTGGATTTGATGTATACAATCTGTTCAAAAATACATGGTCGTCCAGTGTTACTCAACATTTTCTTCCACGACAAACGTTGGCTCACTACACCGCAAAAAACAAAGCAACCGCCCGAGAATCCTATTCGTACACCTGAATCTGGCAAGGAACCTGAATATGAATTCTTGTTATTCAGTTATTTGTTACGTTTCGTTCATCGAGAGGGTCGTACTGGTGATTATGCGAGGACTGGATTACTGTTTATCATGGAAATGGCCACGCAGCAACTAGGCGACTTCATTCTTGAGTCCGATTTTGCATTGACGATGGGTGCTGGTCTATGTGCATTATATTCTCAGTTGCCACGCAAGCTGGTTATCAAAAATGATGCTGAGATCAATTCGGATTTCGCTGCCTATCTGCTTGGTCACGAAGTATCACCCGGCAAGATACCATTGGAACTTGGGGTCGAGTTATCAAGTTCTCCCAATTTTCGCTATCAGCTGGACTCGTTCTTAAAGCTCTTTGAATTTTGTCAAGATGTACTTATTCGTTGTCCCAACACTGAAATTTGCGCCCGTCTACTACAAAGTATCCGTGCACCTTTTCTGGAGAAGATTTTGTATCCAACGATTGAAGAATGCTCAGATAGAGATGGGTCATCGGTTGCAGTTATCAGCTATCTTGATCTCATATTACAAATTTTGCACCATGATGAACTCTCCAGCTTGGTGGTCGGCTTTTTAATGGATGATGATGGCGATGATGTCGGTCGTTTTACTCTCAAAGATTTGATCATGTATCGTCTCAAATACTCAAAGTCGCAGCCAACAGTCATTGCAACTCTGAAATTACTCAAAACTCTCATTACACGCCATTGTCGATATTCCCTGCGCTTACTTTCTTATCAAGCAGATGATGTGAACAGCAACAATGATAAGCCATCAACAACAATCTCACATCATTTGCGGGAAATTGAATTATATTTTTCACTCATTTCTCGCGTACGCAACCAACATCAACATGATAATAATGGATATGAAGACTATTTACAAGATATGGAAGCGTGCATGGAGTGTGATGTATGTTATCAAACCATGACTGGTATGCATGGAGTTCCTGAACACTCTGGCGGTCCTCCAACACCTAAAAGCGAGCGCAGACGAAGTTTCAAGTACGGGCAACGATTTGATGACAGCAAAGATATTGCAATCCAAGCAAGCTCTTGTTACAAACCACCCAGTAACTTGTTCAAGTATCATATCAGACGTAACGATCCTCTGATGCAAATCCTTCTTGACCTTTTGAACCCATTCTTTGCGCAATCTCCTGAATTGAATTTAATGCTCGTTGGAGTTATATCTGCACTCGCGATTTGTCCTTATCGAAGTTTGCAAGGTTGGGTCACTTTCCGCGAATCTGATCGATCGAATCCCGAAGACATACTTGTTCTAAATCATTCAGAACAACTTCCTCATCGCAACAATACTGATGGCATTGGCGCAAACGACATTTACGCATCGCATTCTAATACAGCTACTAACACCACTACCATCGATCCTATCCATGATGAAGAGAATGACCTTGATGAGAATGATGATCGATCCGTTGATTTTGGCGCAGAATTAAATTCGGCTCGCATGACAGCACGTACGCAATTCAAATCCTATCCCCCCTTTTTCACTTTATTCCAAGTCCTCACACAACAAATTGACTGCTATCGTTCTGAAGTCGATGACTTTGATCAATTACTTGAAGAACGAAGGAATTGTTTAATGATGGGAGATAACGATTTCAGTCACGATAATGCGGCAACTCCTGTCATGATATCTTCCTCCTCCACCACAACAACTGCCACTACAACAACCACTTCTGCTACTACAAATACAGGACGCAGAGCATCGCTCTTTCCAGATAGCAAGACTTTTGGTCTCCCTAGTCCGCCCACTGGAAGCAATCGAAGAGCATCAGTGATTATGCGCCCATCTACATCAACGTCGGTTACTGGTACAGCAACAGCGACAGTAGCGGCCCCTGGGAAATCTATCTATTCATTGCTTACACCATCCGCATCCAATACCCCCAATCCCATTATTGCCAATCCACTTTCTCCTCCTGCTATTCATGCCCGGAAGACTCGAAATATACGGCTTCAACCACAATTTAGTGCCCGTTTCGTATCCGATTATGAGGAACCTATCTTTAGCCTTGACCCTGAAGATGAAGACACATTTGCTCCAAAGGCTGTCAATCCTTCTCAGGCACGGAGGATGGATAAATCCACTGAGATTTCATTGTCCATGTTATTGAACAACGTGATTATTTTGGAGGAATCCATCAAGGAACTGATCGCGATCATGCAAGTGCGACGCAGCTTGGGTATAGATGAAATACGTTACGTTTAATACATGTTACCTTTAAATAAAGCATGATAAGGATTGTGTGGGAAACCAGCTGCACCCGGTGGACGTGTTATCGCTTATGCACTCCCTAAGTAAAATCGGATACACAAGTTCACCCCTTTTCTTTCCCCTTTTTTCTTCTCCAAGAGAACGGCAGTTCTTACCATCATGTTCTTCTTCAAAAAGAAAAAAAGACCATCGGTCAAAAATATAGCTCAAGATAAACCAACGTATCCCCTTCCAACCACTCGTCTCATCAGCAAACGTAATTTGCGCACAGCTGTTGACAAGACAACCATTTCTGCTTCTGATATCAGCGTCCCGCCTTCTTGTTCTTCCACCGAAACCGATAATACCCAATCTACTCGGTCACTTGTATCAAGCCTTGAGAATATTTCTCATGAATCAGACCAAAAAGCTGACGACACTGTTATTGGAAACCACGACCAGGATCATGAAGAGCGATCCATTGCTACTATCCCAGGATCGGTTGCCACCATACCTGCACACACAGCAGCAGTATCCATAGAAGAGGAAGGAGAGAGGTGTATAAATGACAATGCATCAATGATATCTAGGAATCAAAAACATACTGTACAACAACATGATGACAACCTCGAACCGTCATCGAGTGTTGAAACAAGCGCTATAGGAGATGGCAATTTCAGAGACGGCCGTGCACTACCGGAAGATGTAATAATCGATAAATGCCCCACAGATCAAGCACTTACTATTGATGATGAAGAAAAGCCAATCGAGGATATCAACCACATTCATTACAACAACAGCAATAGTGCTAGTAATAGAGCGAGTGGCATACCACGATTGCGTTTGTCAGCAAGTACTATCCCAAACGCACGAACGTTGATCGCTAACAACAAAACTGCAACCAGTCATATTCCAGTCCGCAAGATGCATGCATCATCGTTCAATCATAGTAATAACACAATGTCGCCCTCTAGTGCCAGCAACAGAATTACGACAGGTCAATGCCGTCCAGGTAGATTAGTATGTGGCACTCGATTACCTGTGCGACGTGCATAATGTACATCCTTTCTTTTTTACTCTCCCTACCCCAACACCTTGTAATGAACTTCTCCTGATTAAGAACGATCGCTTTTTAATAATGAAAGAGTCGACACTACTGCTATTTCCTAGTTCGCCTGGCTTTGTTTGCAAAATATTGCCTACGGTTGAAACGACGGTATCTTGTTGTACGACGATTTGACGAGTTCTGCTGTTGTCTTCTCCTTCGAGATGTGGATGCAGTCGTCTCAGTGGGTACTTGTTCAAAGTAACGTTCAAATTCAGGATCTTGATTACGACTTTCCTGCACGCTGACAAATCCTTCCAAGGGCGATAAATAACCATCGTCCTCATTGGTCTCTGCTGGTTCGTTACTTATATCAATGATACTGCCATCAGACTCGGTATCACTGACGGGTATTGGCTCCTCGGTTGGTAGGCTGGATGATAAAGATGAATGTTGTTGTTGTTGCTGTTGTTGTTGCTGTTGTTGTTGCTGTTGTTGTTGCTGTTGCTGTTGCTGCTGCTGTTGTTGTCGCTCCATATTTTCAAGTTCCATGTTCACATGTGTCTCGAGATCTTCGATGAGAACCCAATCACTGCATATAGGACATGTACGGTATTCCTGACTTGCTGTGGTATCTCGATCTTTGATATCGATTCGCCCATTTGTTGTTTGGGTTCGTCTTTGGGGCTGATAGGAAGGCGGTAATTGTGATTGTCGTGATACTCGATGTTGTCGTCTTCGGTTCATGTTCAAAGTGTTACTTCGTGCATTGCGTGATGGTGGTTCATCCTCAGAGCTTGATGGAATACCAACGCAGTCGGAAGCATGATTTCTGATGATAGATCGGGAAAATCGTTGAAAGCATAAGGGACATTCTTCATCCTCCTCTAAAGCCTGGAAGATGTATTAGTTAACTCGATTTTTTATCCAATCTACTTAAGCACGAACCTTGGTCATGCGTTGTAAAAGTCGTGGACTTGTCTGAATATCATTATCATCATCAGATGTACTGATAAGTCGTCTACTCTGGTATGGGGTATTGTTTTCATCATGATGATCTGACCAATCCAATATGTCATCGTCAACCTCGAATACTGTTGCCTCTTGTTTAACCATTGAATGATCAACTTTATCAATAATTGGTTCAACGGATGGTAGCTGCTGTTGTTGTTCATGTTCTTGATCAGAGTCATCGCTGAAATCATCGATTTCAAAGGTGGTATTAGGCCGTTGTTCTTGTTTGATAACAATATCCTCCAAATCCTCTATCTCGAATACAGCTTGCTTTTCTTGCTTGATATTGATCGGACTCGACTTGCTAGCCTCAGAACCCCCCCTCGTTGCTGTGGACTTGTGTGGTTCTTGCGAAACGCTCTGTGATATGGTGTTCTTTCTACGCCGTTTTTGCTTTCTGCCACTCAATAGCCTTGGTGTTATCAATGTTTGAAAGTCGTCGTCGTCATCGTCGTCGTCGTTCGTAATGCGTCGCCTTGGTACAACTGCACTTTTCTTTGCAAAAGTAAGATTACTCGATTGTTGTCTGTCGTCCTTCACATTTTCCTTTCCATAGTCGTGCGCTATTCGATCGGTGTGCGATGCTGAGGGAGTATTGCCTGATTTCTGAAAAAGTACCATATCATGAATAAGGAAGGCAAATCAGACGCGTTTGTTTGAAGAATTCAAGTGCAACAATTGGTAAAAGGCCCTTTATATCCGCTATGATGCTAAATGGCTACAATTCTGCTACGATTTTGTTCACTCCATCATCGCAAACTAGAATATGTAAGTGTATATTCATATTATCCCTTTAATAAAAAAAACTTACCAAATCCTCGTCTTCGTCCATCTCATTTTCCTCTTCCCTTGTTTCCATTGGTGTCGACGTTAATACTTCCTTGGCTTTGTCAACACCCTTAAGATACTATAATATCCAACAATGAGTAACTCAATAACGAATAAATGGGTGGTATTATTACAGTTTCGGCTTCTTCTGGGGTCACCTCGCTATCAGGAGCGTCTTCGTTTGTGATCAATGTAATGTTTTCCTTCTTCATCATGTTCCAAAAGTCAAGTCGACGTGATTGTGGATTTCGCGGGTCACATGCATTCTTTAACTGAATCATGAAGCGATTGAAATCCTCAGATTCATTCTCCTTTGCAGCGGTCGATCTTAGCACTTTGAGACAATCCATGGCAGTTCCATACTGTCTATCACCAAAAGACGTGGTAACAAGTTGGAGAATCATTTTGGTCATTTGTGTCACCGCTACGCAAGGAATCATAATTAGCATTGCATGATTTTTGACATAGCTTTATCCCACCTTCTGTCACTAAATCTTCATTCATATTTTTGACCATGTCCTCAAAGTCGGCAACAGGATTGGCCATGGAAATCTCGCGTACATCCCTGGATTTCTGTAAAAGACTACCCACACCTTTGCTTCCTTGCTCGCCACCTCGTACAATATCTTCCACAGTCCGTCGATCACCGTGATCCTCTCCAGCTACTTGATCATTAGCCGTATAGCGCCTCTTCTTCTTCGTTGGATCAACTATTGAAACTAGTAAGCCTTATTTCTCAAATACAGTACTTTATTTCGCTCACCTTGCTTGATATTTAAAAGCCGTTTAAGACGAGAAACCGGCTCTTGGGATCGTTCAAGGAGCTTTGGTATTGGCTCCAGTTGCTTCACAAGTCGCGGGTCGATGTCAGGGATCGGTGCAGCGGGTCTTAATGCTCGAGTCGTGATAGCTTTGTTGACTAACCACAAACGCGGGTTATACGTTTCTTCCGGATCCAGGTATTCATTCCTAATAATATGTAAATGAGTCATTTAGGAAGGTTGCCTGTAGCTATCACATTACCCCTCCTCGTCCTGGCCTAAAGATTCGATATCCATCATATCGATCAAATCTTTCATGCCATCTTCCACATCTTTTGTGGGTAGATAAGGATGCTCGGTTTCGATAATCTTTCCCGAAGCTGTCAAAGCCTTATCCAAAGAGTTGAACGTAAACTGACGGACGCCTCCGCCATATGCAACCTAATACATTATAAGCACCTTGTGAAACAAACTCAGTTTGTCAAGTTACCTGAACAAAACGAAGAGCGTCTACATTCTCCGCAAAGTGTGGGTATAAAACTGCAAGCTTGGGTGGTACGTTCGCACGAGAAACGTGCCGAACAAGGGCTACAGCAGACATTTTCCTCAATGTCTGGGCTAAGACCGAGATGGCAGTTCCAGCAAATGCAGAGTTATAGCTTCCTGCGGTAATGACATAAACATTGGACATCAAATAATCTCTTGGGATCTAAAGGGATTACTTTCAGAGCAGGATCATACAGGTAAGTCTTGTGTGCTTACTGCATTGGTATGATAAAAACCAAGAATGGTCATCTCTGGCTCGGTATGAAGCTTCAAATAGTCCTCCACCTCTTCCGATACGGTAATCAGGGTCTTGCCAAATCTGTAGGCCTTTTGAATGTCCTTTTCATCAACTGGATTGTTCATGATGGTGTCTCCCCCTTCGTCGTTGCTCTCGTCTGCACGTTTGATAGCGTACGTCTTCTCCATTTCAACTTGATGGCTCGATTGTCCGCTTTCGTTGTGACCATCAACTACGCGTGAAATAGCCGACCATTTTTTGGCAGTCGGAATTTTCGCCTCGTAGACCTGAGCATACATATTCACACTTATAGCCAAAGATGTATCGGGATAGGTAGCAGGATCACCAAGATGAAGGTATCCACGATACGTTGGAGTTGGTCGCACTTCCTTCTTCCTGAATCTCTGCATCTCTTTAAAGACTGGTTCGTAGTCGATAAGTTCGCTGCCAGGAACTCCTTCGATAAACATTTCCCAGTGTTTAGCATTCATTTTCTAATGAATCAAGTTGAGTTTTCCCTTGTTCTCACTAATAGGTGAATATCATACTTGTCTCTCGCTTGGTTTGGTTTTGCCGCTCAATGTGTCATCAAGACCCACACAACTGCATTTAAATTAGTATCATGTTGTTTACCTCCCTTCAAAGCATACATACATAGCTGTGATGGATATGTTTTCTCTTTTCAGCATGGCTTGAATAGCTTCAGTGTCCAGCCAATCGATTTCATTGTCAAGTGTGGTGATCACTTGGATATGCTTGTCGTATTTCAAATGGCGACAATGCTTCCGAATTACTTCGATGGATACGATGATGGCATCGAACACTATACGGCCATTTAATTGATAGGACTTATCCTCACATACATTTCCTTACTATCTGCAGCCCAGTCTTCGGATTCCAATATTTGAACATTGTCTAGTTTCTTGACAAGTGCGAGGTCGGGTTGACTGATGTCAGACAACGTCGTGACATGCTGATACTGTCCTGGTTTTTCTGACGCGACAATATTATCGGTGCCTAGAGGCTGGTTGTGAACCACTGGTAATCATGCCTAACTTCTTAAAATGCGTTTACCTTCTGTGCCTGCCAAGATAACGCTTGTTTGATCAGTTTTCCTTCCGGCGAGAATCTGTTGTAAACGTCCATAAGTGACAATGACGACTTTTGCAATAAGAGACAGCTTACACGGTCTTCAAGCTTAGAAATAATCATGTCTTTTGCTTCTTGATAAGCGATGCGATCGTGATTGGGTAAGGTGATACCCATTGAAGGGCTGCAATCGAGTATATATGCGGTCGCTTTCTTCGTGTAAGCCATAGGTTTAAGATCCACCAAGCTTAACGCGCTGCGGACCTTTGCATGAGATATCCATCACTTGCTCTCTTCCCATTGGCGCATCGAACCAAGCATGAATTTCAGCCACGAGAGGATGATTAATTTGATCACTCTCGTCAAGGTTCCAAATCCCTTTTAAAAATCTCAAGTTATGAGTAATTGTGGTGCACCAGGTCCTTTCGGTCGATCCGATGATTTTGTCTACAAAGTGACCTCTGCTTCTTCCGACAAACGGTACATCTGCCATTCTGATCGTCTTTTGCCACTTTGCGCCTCACTCACAGCACTATATAGTCATCCATTTTCCGCTTAAGCCTCCTTGTTGTGATATAATACCATAGTCTAAAATACTATAAATACGGGTCAGCTACTGCTTTTGCGAAGCCAGAATGATCCCTCAATCTAGCCAACTACATGTGTTGGTTGGGTGTATCATTCAACCTGCTTTTACACAGATCAAAGTGACCAGAAATAGGAGAATTCCAGATATTACATTAGGCATTCTTGCAACCGCTGTTAAAGAAGGCAATACCTGCATGGAAGAATTGTCGTTGCCTGCTGAACGTCAGCTGCCGAGTACTGGCGTAGGAAACACGTTGAAAGAGTGAAACATCAGTTCGAATACTATCCAAATTCTTTGACTAAACCCCCGTTACTCTCAATTTCCCTTCTTTGATCTTTTCTTTACGTCTCACATTATAAACTTCTCGCTTCCATACCATGGGAAACATCAGCTCAAAAAAGCGTAAAGATCGTCCTAGCATTATACGCTCAGAGGTTCCCGAAAATGAATATTCGAACAATACAGTAATACACTATCCCGCTTTACTGAAAATCTCTGTTTCCTTTCACTGACACTTGTCGTTTGCTATAGACTACTTCACTCAACTCTATACTTGTCAATGCGAACAACACTCAGCCATTACCTTCCAACACGGCACAGGCTAATTCTAGCAATGCCATTTCAGACGTCTTCGCCGATCACCAAGCTCCTATACAAAGCAGCGACAGCGACCCGTCCCAGACGCTTGACTATAATCAATTGACCGTATCCTCTCAGAATCAACTTACCACCAGCTCAGTACGCTCCATTGGAAGTAATTTGGATATTGATGAATGCATCAAGCGGTTGCTGGAGGTTGGCATGGAAGGAAAAATCCACAAGTCGGTGTGTTTTCGGAATTCCGAGATCGCAGCCATCTGCAAAGCAGCTCAGGAAGTGTTCCTTAGCCAACCGGTAAGAAAGCTATACTGCTATCAAAGCCTTACACTTATACATGCATTAGTCGATGATAGAGTTGAATCCTCCAGTCAAAATATTAGGCGACATTCATGGCCAGTATCATGATTTACTCCGACTATTCGAAATGGTAAGCGATCCTTTAAAATCATGCATCGAAGCTTGCTGATCGCGGACTTTTTTTATGTGTAAAAGGGCGGCTTTCCACCAGAGTCCAATTACTTGTTTCTTGGAGATTATGTGGACCGAGGCAAACAAAGTCTAGAAACCATCCTTTTATTATTCTGCTACAAGATCAAATACCCCGAGAATTTCTTTGTCCTCAGAGGAAATCACGAATGTGCCAATGTTACACGAGGTAAAACCGTATTTTTTCTTTCACGACAACAATAATACTAATGTGCTCCAGTCTACGGGTTTTACGATGAGTGCAAACGAAGGACAAACATGAAGATCTGGAAAACTTTTATTGATGCGTTCAATGCATTACCAATAGCAGGCCTAGTAGCAGGGAAAATATTTTGCGTGCATGGTGGTTTGAGCCCATCACTCAATTCCTTGGACGATGTGAGGAGTATTATGCGACCAACAGATGTACCAGAATATGGTTTGCTGAATGACCTATTATGGTCAGATCCATCGGATACCACGGAAGACTGGGAAGATAGCGAACGAGGTGTCTCATACTGCTTTGGAAAGCGTATTGTCAATGAGTTTCTTGCTAAATTTGACCTGGATCTTGTTTGTCGCGCTCATATGGTGGTTCAAGATGGTTATGAATTCTTCGCAGAAAAAGCATTGGTCACTGTCTTCTCTGCTCCAAATTATTGCGGGGAATTTGATAACTTCGGGGCAATCATGAGTGTGAGCGAAGAACTTTTATGCAGTTTCGAGCTACTTACTCCAACAGATCACCCAACCGTCAAGTTATCGGGTTTGAGAGGCAAAGGACGGCGACCGAGGTAAGTAAAATGACTGATGTTATCGAAGTTTCAAAACGTGTATTAATACAGTGGCTATAGCCCACCAATGGAACCATCATTAAGCGAGTCGCCCAACGAGCAAACAGAATCATAATGAAATAGATATGGTATTTTGTCCCATAAATACAGATATTACAAATCTACCACTCATCTAGTAATCATGTGCTCTACCCATATGGTAGTGAAAATTTGCTCCTATTATGTATGTCAGATGAGAGATCTTCGCTCCATTATACACGGACAGGACACAGCTTTGTTCCTATGAGCCATAGGCTGCCCGCACCTGTAGAAGCGTTGTTTTTTTTGGTGTCAATAATGCTGCATATGCTCTTCAATGTATCAATGCATTCCACCTTTATTGCCATCATGGCTTTTCAGCACTAATATAGAGTACTGATTGCGTGTCAATACCAGTGTCATATGTCTTCTATCTACTTTCGACACATACCATTGTTTCCTCGAATAAAGGTATCACCGTAACGATTTTTAAGTTTTCCGTCAACATATTCTTCTGTGTTTTCAAGCGCGATGTTCATATAGCCATCCAGACATGCCAGAATTCCTAATCGCGTGCGTTTTCCCTTTGGTTTCAGCTAGGTCATCTCTATGTGTTCATTTCATACCTCGGTAGTTGATTCCAGAATTCAGCTTGACGAGAACCTGCCGTCCAAGGACTGTACTAAGGAAATCAGTGGGAGATCGCGTGTGCTTCTGCTGATCCATGAGTAGAAGTAGAAAAAAAAGAGAAGTCGAAGACGTGTGCAAGAAATGTAGTGGCGCAAGTCTGCGTTCAACCAATAAAATCAAGCTTACTTGGATACAATGGCTGTACCGCCAAAATCGGCACAGAATTAAAACGTAGCGCCAATATGACATGACTAATAGGAGCACGTCCTGTTTATCACAGCAATGATTGTAAAGTACATTTTTTCTTCTTATTCTTTTATCTCATTATTAGCTAGTGCGATATGATTAGGTATGAGTAGGCTTGGACACCGTTGAAAGTGCTGGTGGAACGTCTCTCAGCTGCTACCACATCATTCATCAGGAAGCTCAGGATGGTGGTTCAAATGATCACAGGATACGGGGCTCCAGTTAATGTCCAGGACACCTAATTGAAGGTTACCCTCAGGTGCAAGCCTTTGGAATGCCGCTGGAGTGAGATCGATAGCTTTTCCTATAGTACAATGCTTGTAAGATGTACGTAATAGCTGCATGCTTTGATATACCACTTACCGACTCGACATGCAGCGCATTTATCTACAACCATGATTGTGATGGACAAATCACGATGCTTTTTGTTTGTCACTCGTAGACATTTGTAGCAGTCTTCGAAACCATTCATTGCCTGAATAATGAATTCTGTATTAATTAGTAAAAAGTCAATCGACATATATCGTTCACGCTCATACCATTGCTCCTATCATATCGTTTATTGTTGCATCCCATCTAGGCATCCCGTTTCGATCGTAGCAAGCAGCGTTTAGGAGATCTTTTCCATCATACCTGTAATAAGTTCCTATCAGCTATTCTGTATGTAGGTAATAGTAAACATATACGACACAATACCATGTACCGTTACCATGACCACGTTTAGCCAAAGATATTTGCTTCAATGGTCGAAACTGCATAACGGTTGCCACGCCTTCATAAGTCGTTTCGGCCACCGCTGCAGAGTAAAAGAGACTAAACAGACAGAGAGACACAAAAAAGAGCCACATATTTTGGAGCACTGGAAAGCTGTGGAAAATACTTCTGCTTGGTAGGCATTTATAAGTTATAGCTGCAGCAGACTGAGCCATATGCGGTTTTCTCAGTATGGATTTTGTGTCAAAAAGAGTTACGCAAGTCAGCCGGCGTTTATTTGCGAGCCAAAGTCTTTTTGTTGCTGGAGCCCCTGGCTACCTCCTTAGCCCCTGCACCCTTTAATCGGACTGGAGCAACGCCGTTGATGTCCACACGACACAAGTGCTGGTGTCTCGTCACCTCCTCCTCAGATTTTGTTAGTGTTGTGTCGTGCATGGTACATGGATACATTACTCCTCAGAAGCAGGCTATCGCTATAGCGGTGATATTGTTACTTTGAGTGTTGTGTGCAGATACTCTTTTAGCACCAAAATAACGCTTCCATAAAACATATGAACGAACCGATACCAGTGGTGAAGTCAGCACGGCTATTTGCCACACAACGTTTACGGTTTAACAAACATTATGGAAAACAAAAGTTGGTCAAATGAGAGAAGTATGATGCTAATCAAATATAACGATTTTCGTGCATGAAATGAACTATTTTCTGTACAACTATAAAGCTTGCCTAACGCCTCTATATTAAGATGAAATATGCAAGCTCTCGGTCTCTGTCTTTAGGTGTTCGATGTCATCGCTGTCGCTACTCTCCTGGGAAGAAGGCTTATCCATCACCTTACTGAGGGATTGTTGTGACATTGATCTTGAATGCCGCTTGAATTTGCTTACAGCCTTCATCTGCAAGTACAAGTGGTTAAAGAAAGGGGTGCATGCATTTTTCTTTTTGTAACCTACCACCATGAACACAGGAACGATCTTGGATATGGCTCTGCTGATTTCTTCTTCAGTGACTTCAGTGACCATAGCAGCATTGTTCTCTTCTTCTGAAATCAATGGTTCTTGTCCATGTTTCGTCACCCAGGGATCCACCTTGACCGTACAGCTTAAGTTCACGCATTATCCCATGTTTGTATACATTACCCGCAGCTCCGATATAGAAATCCGCTTTTCAGGATCCTTCTCCAATAACTTTTGTAGAAGCATGACAAGTTCTGGGTTTGTACTCTTATCGTATTCCACACTATGTAATCTATTGTTTGAGCTGTGTACCTTTCTTTCACATCACTGCGCACTTGAACTTACGGGTCATGGCAAATTTTAGAATTGAGCTCGATAAAATTGGTGCTGATGAAAGGAAGACGGCCATAAACCAAACAGTAAAGCGTAACACCCATAGACCAGATATCTGCAGCTTTTCCCGATACTTCACCATGATTTGCTGTGCATAATTCTGGAGCCATGAAAGCTGGACTTCCTGCTGATTTCTTCAACAGATCATTGTCCTTTTGAAACATTTCCGAAACGCCAAAATCTACAAACTTTAAAACACCATCCTGAGATAAAAGCAAATTGTCCGGCTTGATATCTATATAATTGAATGAGCGAACTATCTCTGCCAAAAAGCTGGTTATACCACATACCGCGATGAACGATATTGCTATAGTGTACTTGAGAAAAATGAGATACAAGAACTGCTTCGGTTGGTTGACTAGGATATCCTTACGATATTCAATTCCAAGGATCATGTCTCTAAAAAAATGACGCGCCATCTCTTCTGAATAAGGAGTTACAGTTCCACCTGCCTCTACATCCATGAGCACGCCCTTGTGTGCCATCTCGAATACTACTCGAGTATCATTTCCAGCGTCAGTGGTATTCCTATAAATTCATCTACACTGACCCAACTTACCCATATAAAGCGAATCGTTATCTGGATCATCCAATACTTCAAATAGTCTCACCACATGTGGATGATTGAGCTTCTTTAGAATAGCGAGCTCAGTTCGTACGAGATCCAAGGGATTGCCGCTACTCTGAGCATGTCTTGGAACACGGGGTCCAAAGCCCCTACCCCTTCCCCGAAGTCCACCTGGTCGACGGAGCATGGCAGACTGTTCTCTCCTACGTAAGCGCTGCTTGCTGAATTCCTTGATGGCCTACGTATCTTTTTATGTTAGTCCCTAGTAGAACAGGTTTCTAGGCCTATACTTTACATATTCATTGCCAGTGTTCTTGTCAACACCCAAATGCACTGTTCCAAACGCGCCACGGCCGATCTCTTTCTTCAAAATATACTGGTTGATCTGAGGTAATCCCTCCTTTGTCTCTGACGTTTTAGCGCCTAGTGTCTCAACGACAACCGATGCAGGGCGAGGGCTTAATGCAGGCGAATCAGGAGGCGATTTCATGGAGAGCTGGGAAAGTGGAAAAACGGGTACAGCTCTGAGCGTCCTCCAAGTCAACCTGAATACCGGATATCCATTTACCCGTCATTATCACGCGCCGGTAAATATAGACTCCCATTGCGTGTTGAGCAAATGTAGAGCAGTATTCAAGGATCATAACAAAATGGTATCATGATAAGAAGATAAAGACTAGTAGTGATGTAGATAGCAGCAAGAGGCTACTATACTACAAACTGAAGGATAGCAACCAGCCAAAATCAATATAATGACAATGTTATCATTGTAACTACAGAGAGAGAAATATTTAAGCTGACTCGGGCCATACATCTTAATGAGCGGCCAGCATTTCTTGCTCCACTCGTAACTGTCAACTATGCGTATGTTGCCAATATTACAAGATACATGCGATGTCACATGACATACGACTCTTTATGATCGCTTATGATAGTGACTGACATTGCGCAAATGGTACAAGCTCAATTTGGCTGGGCTTCTCCTCTGCAGTTTGATTTTGCAAATGGAACCACGTACAAGAAACACTGTGGTAGGAATAATCCTTCCTGTGTTTGTAGTAGGGCTCTTTGTCTATCCATGGTACATTTACACTTTTCGGATATGCAGTAAGTGAATGGAATCCATTGTCCCGCAATTGCCGGATGGTATGGCTCATCAATTTGTTTTCTCAGACACATTGTTCCCGGATAACAAGGCCGAAGGAGGTATATGCGAACAGAAATAGAGAAAGAATGTTAGTCTAACTCGTTTGTTAGCTATCTTCATCACGATTGCATCACTATTTGGTGTACTCGCTTTATTGTGTTATGCCCGCGTTCTGATAGCACCGTCGGGAAAAGCTGTTCATGCAAGTGGTTACTGCGAATTTAGAGTAGAGGAGAGATGCTGAGCGAGAGACTTACATCTGCTCGGAACCAGCAGGTTGCGGCCGCGTCTCAAGGCTCGCCGATACCACGATATTGCTATGCACCAGGATTGCTTGATCCCAAGACCCAATGCCCACAAATATCAGCAACGGCGGCGGAAGTTGGAAATGCACCTAACGAACGAACTGCACTCCTTCCAACACTGTGTATCACTCGCATGGACGGCACACCTCGTTATTGCGACGTCTGCCAATGCTACAAACCAGATCGTACACACCACTGCAAAGAGTGCAATGCATGTATTCTGCGGATGGACCAGTAAGTACTTTGCATGATGCATAAGGCTTTTTATTCCATATGCTGATACCGCATTTCCATATAACTACTGTATGGTTTCAGCCATTGTCCATGGTGAGTTCGTTACCTAAAATGTACATCTTACATACTTATATAATGAGAAACATGGAAATAGGATCAGTGGCTGTGTAGGACATAGAAATTACAAGTTCTTTTATCTTTTCGTGATATACAGCGCAATGTATGCAATATGGTCGCTCTGCAGTAGCATCCCACTAATCGTAAATGCGCTATCCAAGAATGTATGGAAGTGAGTTGTGGTGGGGTTAAGGTTCCGGACTGATGCCAGTTGATTTACGTAGGACGCGACTCTAGATCCTCAGTGGATCGTTTTGCTGGTGCTGTAAGTACTGTACGAATGTATGGTAGAGATATCTACAATGATAGGAATAGTAACCCATCGAATTATACAATTGTAGTGGCTTTGTATTTGGAATGACGCTGTTAGGATTTGCAGGAGTACACACTTATTACATATGCATGAATCAGACCACCATCGAGCATATCTCACGGCGTCCCTATGAAATTCGAGTGGATTTGGATAGAACTGGGCATAACTATGAAATTGTGACAACACCGCACACAGAGCGCTTGTGGAACCTGGGAACATGCGACAATTGGCGATCAGTCATGGGGAACAATCCATGGGGCTGGTTTGGTAAGTTATTTTTTGCAGCATTTTGCTCACACTATATTGTATTTGTCTCAAATATTGTCTGCAGTACCGTGGTCAGGTGGTCTTGGCAATGGATGCGTTTTTCCATACAATAACGAAGTGTATGCTCGCGTGATTGAGCGAGCCAAACATCAACGAGCGATCTTGAACCCCCCAGCCCCCTCTCGTACTACTGGCGTTTAGTCATCTTGTTTGTCAATAACAGCTGATATTATTTTGTCCGTATGCGGTCGGATATTGTGGATTGAATGTTGGGAAAAACGGTAGCAGAAATGAATGGAGTGTGCTGAAGAATGAGACGCCAGTGAACTTTCCGAATGGCTTCAAGAGTGGCGGCGATAATGAGGGAAGAATCAATAGGAGGATGACTCGCCGAGAGATCGAACTAAAATTGTACAAGGGCCTTCTCAGCACTTGAACTGAGTTGCATTACCTCTGTTCTCTGGCGTTACATTGGCATTGGCCATTGGGGTATTGATGTTGAAGATTGTTCACAGCAAGCGGCTTCAATTGCTGTACCTCTTAACACAAACATGACTATCTGTATCTTTGGCTCTATTATATTCATGCTACGACTTGACAATGAACAGAGAGCACCTATCATATAGATATAGCATCACGTTTACAGCATAGGTAAAACATAAAGGTTCCTGTATCTCCAAATTTTACAATCAAGCGTGGGGTCTTTATGAGAACAAGGTTGCTCATCAGGGCCAAAGGAACCATGTGTGTAAGTTTCACGATCGGGGTTGTCAATTGCAGATTTCGCAAATGTCGCCACCAGCTAAATTGGATCCGCAGATCAAGGTCAACCTCTTGAATGTTTTTTTCGACGACGACCAAAAGCCAGAGATGTTCCTTGTGTTCAAAGGCGTACATCAACAAAGTATCAAGGTTGATATGCAAGACAAGCGATTCAGCGAATGTGGCTACCAGCTCCTGTACCTCTTGAGCACGTGATCTCTTTCATATGAACTTCTGTTACTCAGTTCTCAGCATTCTACATGTCGATCACCCTTCAAATTGAAAACTCAAGTATAAAACCACCCTTGTTCTACAACTTTGGTTAGTGACCCAAGATGATCAGAGAAGATATGAAACATGCCCCTTTGTCCCCACACGAGCGAATTTTTTTTCTTTTTCTCGACAAGTGGCAAGTCGACCGCATCTGAAAATTTGTTTACGACTATAAAATCAGTCACTGTGACCACGTTTTATCAAGACGTCACAGTCATCAGAGGCAAGTCCAGTCCTGTACCTCTTGAGCACGTGATCTTTTGCATATAAACTTCTATTAGTGTTATCTCAGCATCCTACATGTCAATCTGCCTTTAAATTGCAAACTTGATTATAAACCCGCCCTTGTTCTACAACTTTGATTAGTGACACAAGTCGATCAGAGAAGATACGAAACATGCCCCTTTGTCCCACACGAGCGAATTTTTTCTTTGTTTCTCCACAAGTCGCAAGTCGGCGGCATCTGAAATTTGTTTTGCGATCATGAAAGCAGTCACTGTGGTCAACATTGCCTAAGAAGTCACAGCTGTCAGAAGCAAGTGAAGTCCTGTACCTCTTGAGCACGTGATCTCTCCCATATGAACATCTGTTACTCATTTCTCAGCATTCTACATGCCAGCCACCCTTCAAATTGAAAACCCAACTATAAAACTACTCTTGTTCTACAACTTTGGTTAGTGGCCCAAGATGATCAGAGAAGATATGAAACATGTCCCTTTGTCCTACACGAGCGAATTTTTTCTCTGTTTCTCGACAAGCCACAAATCAATGTGACCTGAAATTTGTTTATAATTATAAAAGCAGTCCTTGTGGACAACTTTGAGTAAGGCATCACAGCGGTCAGAGGCAAGTCAAGTCATGTAGTTGTGAGCATGTGATTTCTTAGTCTCCTCGCCATACGAGAAATTATGGTAACTGCTAACTGGTAATAAGCTCAATGATCACGTGTAAGAACAGGGCACAAAGAGCGCAAGACATTGGTCTCTGCCTTCCTACCACGTCAAAGATACATGTACAAAAACCCCGGGTAAACATTAGTGCATGCCACGGTTAGACGAACTTTTGGGCCTGTAGGAAATTGTAGCTCGGATGAAGAAAATAGAAAATTAGCTGACATAGGGGTACAAAACGCCCGGTGAGCAAACAGCACAAAACGTTCAGTGGGTAAAGTATTTTCCCGATGTAAAGAATAACTAAAGATGATGGGTTAATCAACCAATGTATTGTAGCCGATTTACTAATCTTTTTCATTTACTTTAACAACAGTGATATCTACAATGGGACAAGAGTATTTTTAATATTACTAATTTTCTACATTACGTCGGCTATTCGGCATTAAACAGTTATTTGTAAATAAATCCTTCCTTTGAAACTACCAAAATGTTATCAAATGCGTGGAAGCGACCTCAAGATGTTATTAAATTCATATAAATTACTTCTTGGACACCTTTGAGCACTAAACGTGGTATTAAACTCTAGAAGGGGGTCTCTTGCGGATGCCTTTGACTCACATTACTGCATCAATTCCATAGAAGGGAAGCTCTTGTGCACATATTAAGCCTAAATATTACTATAAGTAATTAAAATGGAGTTTTATGTTCCTAATGCTTCCTTTTATCCACGAAAACCGTCTAAATATTCAGTCATCGGGTGACGATTTGTGCACAGCCCAGTTCGCACATAACGTCGGTGGGTTAACCCACCGACGTATTGTACTGTTACCCACCGGACGTTTTGTACCCTACTCACCGGGCGTTTTGTACCCCTATATCAGACCGACCACCATCTTCAAAAATTTTTGAGGCTGCAAATATTTTTGAGTTTGGGGACATGCAAATAAATTTTTTTTTTGGTCTGGGGCCTTGTGTAACAACGACGGCTCTATATTTTGCCGGATACATTTTACTGATGTGGGGTCGAAAAGGTGACCACGTGACCATGGAACCACTTAAAAGCGAAAAACATAGAGTTCGCCAAAACTTTTTTTTACCATCAATCGTGGCCAGTCATTAGAAAACTTGCTGATCGTGTTCGAAACGTGCTTGTCTGTGAACATGAACTTCCACAACGACGATTCTAAAATTCCCCCGTCCAGCTCTACCCCATCACCTTTTTTTCGACGACCAAAAGAAAATATTTTTTGGGCTGATGGCGACATTCGCTAAATCCCTGATTGCCCACCACGAACCTGACACTTACTCACTAGCTACTTCCAGCCACGCCGGACAACTTTGTTCTAATAAGACCCCCATGCTTCATTGTAAAGTTATGGCTTAGGGCGGCTTTTCCTGTACGGCCACTGTAGGTGTGATTAGAATAGGCTGAAGGATTAGGCATAATTTCTCGCGAGACGAAATCCCGCACCTTTCTGGATGGGACATGGAAGTGCGACGTGAAGCTCGCAACTTTAGCGTTTATATACCTGATAGGTTTTGCACATAGTTGAACTCTATTCATCCGTATAGATCTATTTCTTTGTTATTTAGCGAGATTTCTCGCGAGTCGCGACCGCCTATCGGCGTCTTCACGAGGACGAGAATAAGACCGATCTTCTCGCATCAGGTTTTGACAAGTAGCTAGGGCCAAGGAGACGTGTAAAATGTATTCAAGGTGATTATATAGTGTAATAACTATTCATGATATTGGATGCAGTGATCAGTTTGTCTTTCTCGAGATGTTTCCATTAGCGGCAGGCACCGTTCTATAGAAGATAAGTTATTGGATTGGCCGAAATGATTATGAAGCTTATGATTCGCAATGTATATCCAGAGATGGGTGTTGGGAATACAAGCGAAGTGTTAGTTACCAGTGATAATGCCAATGTAAATATGTCTCTGTTATCAATATCTGCCTGATGGTACCATAGTAATAAATCATCCCTTAAAAACCGCTTCCCTAACATCTAGGCAGTTTATTATCAGACAATAAAACGTATAATGGAGAACTAGATGGAATTTCACTGCATGGGCCATCGCGTAACGTCTTTGGTTGCACCAGCTTTGCGCGCTGCTTCCCTTTCTTTTCCTTATTTGCTTGGCTTGATGGAAGGATACGATACCCACAGCATTTTTATCTGTTGCAACTCTAGCTGCCTTGGTCCTAAAGGGCGTCAAGCTGGTGTATATGTGTCTGGCATGTTGGTAAGGAAAGAACATCAACATCGTCGCATGGAGCTGGGGTGATTGACCGTTTGACAGTTTGCTCTAGGATGGTGGATGTTCATTGATACTCTAAGCTTTTCGTTCACATTGACCGATCGCAAGGTGTTATTTGGTGTTGAAGACTGGGTTCCTGGCATTATCACGACGCTAGGCATGATTGTGTGAGTCATGATTATGCAGTTTACCCGTATACGAATACTCATAGCATGATATTAGTGTCTGCCTGATAGACAAAAGCTCTCTTCGAGATTCATGGGGCGAATCAGGATCTTGGCAAGCTCGCTTATGCTTGTTTTTGGTACCATTATTCTTATGATAGTCGTCCTCAAGGACAGGAAACTAAACCGATATCGGCATTGTAGGGGTTTGCTATGATGGCAGGTGGTTTAGCAGGCGCGGTTGTAAGTTGCTCTCACACATAATACAAAGAACGAGTTGGATTGATAGGTTCTTTTCACAGAGTGTGCTAGTGGTAAAGTACATTATGCGCGATCTCGACTCTGCCGACTGCTACCCTGGTATCGGTATTGTAGTACAATGCGGGCTTCTTATGCTCAGGTATTTGCTTTGTTTGGTACATAAAAAATACCACGCTGATATTGACATCAAATTTCGTAATAGCACTGCCATTCTCTGGATATCACAGACAGAAGAACCATCTTTTCGCATTTAAGCTTAGGAAACAAGAATTAAATCATACCATTGTTCGACATATCTTTCCAGAAAGTTTAGGTCATAGAAATATAAATATGAATCTGGTATCTTTATGTGAGGAGGAGTGGTTTACTAATCATTACTTTACATTACAATATAAGATATTACTTATTACATAATATGACATTCTCTATTATGAGCTCCCATGCGCATTAGCTGCTCTTCGGTATATGCACGACCTGTCATAGCTTGAATATCCTCCATGGCCTGCTCACGTTCATTGTCTTTCTTTTTTTGCTTGATTTCTCGTGGAAAGTACAGCTTCAAGAAGTTCTGCATTGGAACATCCAAGTTTAAAGAGCTTGCGTGTTTGACAGCAGTAGGGTGTCGGCATAGCGGGCAACTATCCATTTTCTTTTTCTGAGCTTTGATTAAGCAGCGTACACAAAATACGTGACCACAGGCTAGACGTATGGGTCTCCATGCCACCGACATACACACGGGACACACTATACACATGAAATGAGCAAGATATTGGAGCGAAAATGCAACATGAACTCACGATAATCATCAGGTTGCGGTATGATTGTTGTCAGTTTTCCTAAGATGGATGCACAGAGGATATCTGCTAACTTGGTATTAAAAAATCGACTCTGTTGTATAAAGTTGGGAAAGCTTGTACTGGCGCTAAAGAAAATGGATCAGTGAGATGTATTGCATCATAAGCTCTTCTCCCCACTTACTTTAGACCACTACGTTTGTCATGCTTTTTCAAAATCTTGGTTACTGCCGTTTGATTCAAAAGCTGATAATGTTTCATGGTGATCAATTCTGTATTGAGTGCAATAAACTGCTCGAAAGATTCTCGGGAAGCTTTACTCTTGAATTTACGCAAAAGATTGAGTTCCCCAAGTTGTTGTGTGAACCATTCCATCTGCGCTTTGGATTTGTGAGCCGAATGTATCGATCTGTCGGATTCGACTCTGCCTTTAAAGATCTGGGCATCCATATAAAGACTGAAAATAGCACGCCATGCGTACATATCGGTCACGTGATTTGGCGCTGTCTATAGATACATATACATTGGTTAGTTGGGAGCAGTAAACTTCTCTATTTGAACACCCTTACCAATTTGGCCATGCGCCTCTCCAATTCATTTACATCTTGTTTAAATCTTTGGGAAGTCATATCCTGAAGGACTGCCGCTTGTTGTAACTCAGTCATTAATGTCGCAAAGAATTCATCATCGTGTTCCAATTCAATAACGAGACTACGCATGTCCTTTTTCTCCTTTCCTGTTTCCACCTTGTTGCTGATTTCAACCTCGCCATCAGTCGTAATATCACTTATTCGATCTGTTTCTTCTTTGCTGGATAGTGTCATGTCCATCAATTCTCGGAATAGTTCCGCTGCTGCACTTTGTCGGCGTTGCATGGTATCACTTGTTAAGATACGTTCATCTTTTTTGCTGAGCGTGAAGAAATCCGTGTCGTTCTCTGTACGTTTGTATCGAAGCTTAGGTCTGGATGCATTACAAGTATTGTTGTCGCTTTCATTTTCTTCCTTGCTTATGATCTTTTCCAAAAGCTCCTCCACATGGGATTGATTCGGGTCGTAAATGAACTCGATGCAGGGATGTACATTGGGAGATTCACCTATCGAATCGTTATAAGACTATACAAATGACCCGGTACGAGTGCTTATTTACCAGTGAAATAATATCTTATCTTTGGACCATTGTCATTGTTGGCTGAATTGTTGCCGAGACATTCTCGTAAAAAAGAAGCAGACAGTCCACGACGCTCAATTTCGACTGCGACCTTTGCAATGAGCTTCTTGAGTGCTTTATACTGAATGAGATATGGTCGCCACTCGGAGGGAATGTCCTCAGCTTCACTTTCTAACTGTTTCGCAAACTTCATTGAAAGAAGAGATAATTCATGGTTTTATCATCCCCGCTACATATTGACATTTTTGGAATAGAAAAGAACCCTGCAGATTGCCATGCAACTGTAACACAAACTAGAATGTCTAACTACGCTACTGCTACCGTAAAACGACATCAGATACCAATTCACTACCATACAAGACATTTATCTTTAGGATTCATAGGCCTTCCAACTGGACATGAGAATGCTTTTGAAAATTCCTTAGAATTCATCAGCGGACCATTCACGCGCCAACGACTGGGGGCATTGCTACTTGTTGATAACTAAATGGGCAACATTATTAGTCACATGAACATCCCTTGATAAAGAATAGTATAGATACCTCATGTAAATCACTCTGTGTCGTACTTTTACTGCATTGCATCCGAGCAAAGCTAATAAAAAACAATTGTTCTCGAGACCAAGCGTCTAATCCTGGTGGAAGATCATTTTGTCCGACATGACGTTTCCATGCAAGATAAGCGTGCAACAAGCCTCCATTGTCTGCAATATTCTGCTTCAAAGTTTGTTCACCGTCCACATGGTAGGTATCTCCATGTTCTCCCTCAATAGTAAACTTGGAATATTGATGAATAAAACATTTGGCCTTATTTTCGAAAGCTGTTGTCGTTGAATTGCTCCATTCTCTTCCATTGAACGCATGCAGAATTTCTCGGCCCACCATCGCTCCAAGTTGACCATAGTTTAAAAATTCAGGGAGCTGTACATTAAAAAAAGGCATACGAAGAATGGATGCAGGAACTTGAAGCTGCCGTACGAGATTACTAAAGTTGATCTTCACTTCATTCTCGCTAACATACGTTACCTTGTTTTGTAAAGGATCATACAAAGCTTCGGTGTATTGGGGTGATATATCCCATGCATTGGGATCGACACTAGATGATAAGCGCCCCAAGGTCTGTTTCACATGCCATTTGTTGACACTTCTGATGCTCTCAAAGAAGTTATCCTTATTGACGATAGCATCGGCATAATATTCGGCGAGTGAAATAGCGGATCGAGTGTCAGGATGTGATTTCGGGTATCCAACTTGGTGATTAATATGTGACATCTAAAAACAACATCCAGATGAGAATGATGTTGCTTCCTCAGAGATATAGACATACCTGGTATTGGAATTTTTGCTTATCTTCAACATGTATCCAATCCAAGGATTGTATACGTTCAGAAAGGGTATGACCAATACTTGTTAATAGTTCATCCGCCTGTTGTTCTGCAACATCATCCAATATACGTTTTACAAGGTAACGACCCAGTAGAAAACCAAACGGATGATCAGCGTAAGCTAAACAAGTCTGCCATCTTGGTGGTTTGGCACGTACTTCAACACCGTACAGCTTAGCATCCAACTTGCGGCGAGGTGCTATAAATTCTTCTCCAAGGGTATCCAAATATTTCCAGAGAACCCGCCAAATCAAATATAACTGCAGTGTGCGTGTGTTGGTGCCTTGTACAATTCGACCTGACAAGTCAATGACAAATGTTGATGACGGAATCAATATGTCTTGAGGAATGGGCGTGCCACGCGGTAATAAAGCTTCAATAATGATCGACCAGTCGATGTTTGGAGCTGCCTTTTGTAGCTGATCAAGGGACCATCGTTCCATGTTCTGATGATGCGTTGTTGCTAGCTCCTTTTCAAAGTTGATAATTCGTCGTGCAGTAGCTACTGGGCTCCATGTTTTCCATCCAAACTCGTTTGCGTCGTCTCTGCTGAACACTGTGCTCAAGATCTCCTCTACAACTTCACTGTAGACATTCAAAATATCCGAATCTTTATAATATACATGCGATGGAAGGCCTAGTTCCCCCTGCCCTATGGAAAGGCTTGGACGTGAACTATCTTGGGGATCGACACCCACATGAAATGCGAATAGTGGCCAAACATTTTGTTGAGCAAGATAAATCAACGCATGACTGAGACCATGGACAAATGGAGGAGGAGGAGGAGAGCTCATTGCATAATAGTATTTGAGAGGTAAATAATCTCTGATGGTTCGAAACATGTCGTAAAAAGGCGTAATATCATATCGTTCGATTGTTTCTTCATCCATGCAGGCATGTTGGAAATCCCGTAACTTTTGAAATAGTTGTTCATCAAGGATACGGTCTGGAGGTGGCAATAAAGAAGATAGGGGAGGAGTAGCATGACTGTCATTGAATGGATGATTGAGAATCTCGTTGAGTAGTTGCTTGGTTCTCTCGTTTGCAACGCTTTGCACGCTCGTTTTAGCCATGTCCTCGCGTAAGACACGATCATTAATCCAGTTACTGCCTAAAATAGGTCATGAATAACAATGGTGCGGGTACATAGCTTTGATAATTACATGCATATGCATAAAAGTCGTCACATGGATCCATGTTCAAGTTCACATCCTACAATTATCGTGAGAATCGTCATTTGGAAACCGTCATTTATATTACTCACTTGAAGAATATATGCAGATGCCAAAATACAGCTAGGTTCCAGGCAGTAATGCTATCAGGACGTGGAGAATATGAGCATCTATGCTATATGTCATCATCTGCCGTAGTATAAATAATACCTCGTCCTTATCAGGTGGTGGTATCGGGGTGGGTTCAGCAGTCGGTGATGGAAGAGGTGATGGTAAACTATCCCCAAAGCTGCTGCGTGCGTACAATCCAATGAAGATACAAAGGAATATAAGCAATATCGAGCTGACAAAGAACATTAACTTCTCCAATGAAGTGAATTGCCCAGGCTGCAGATAGAGTGGATATCGATAAACGCCGCTGCCGTAATCAGTATTCGATACCGCTTCATCAGCACTGTTGCGTGAGACATTGTCGGCTTCGTCAATTCTGTTTCGCGATAACAACGGAGCGCGTGGGTCATCAGTTAACGCCATGGAGAGAATGGATAGAAGCGCTCTGACATCCCAGGAGGACCTTTCGCCATTTTAGTCGTTGTCGGTGGCTCAACTCCTTCCCCGTTTTTGTTATCATGAGATCAACACCGAATGTTCGCCCATTCATACTTCTCATCAACGGCCCATAAATCACGTGATTGATCCGTATGAATAATAAGCGCGATTAACATTAGTGTTTGTGGTTAGAAATGGCTGGGAAAGTTGTTATGTAACGGCTGGCGTCGGGGGTCGGAAGCATTTATGCATCATACGGTGCTTATCGATGAAGATACCAACGACTTTCAATTCTGAAACTAACACGCGCACAAACTTCGAACAACGTATCACTTCTCTCAAATTGAGCTTAGCAAGGAATTTGATTGGTGTCATTATTTGATGATGGTGATTGAAAATAGTGTACGACAGGAGCTTGCATTGAGACAATTGATGAAAATATACATGAGGGGTCGCAAGGGTAGAAGCAAATCAATCACTCTTAAAGCGCATGAGCGCACTTGTTAGTATCAGGGGCGTGCTCCTTGTCCGAGATCGAATGATCGTTATATGATTATAATACGTAAGTCTAATCCATGCAGCAACCTTTAACTGGTTGCATGGGCGCAACGTTGCCTGATAGGATGGCTAGCTATTTGATTGTTGAATCCACAGCATTATATCATATATACCTCCACGAAACGCTTATACCACATCTTCTCCAGTTCTTCGGCACTTTCGTGGGCTTTGGGTCATTGCTTAAACTTGTCACGATGGTCTTTCACAAATGCGTTCAACTTGATAATTCGCCGGCTAACAACGAAAAGCGTAAATTCTGTGCGAACATTAACTTCTTTTGTTATTAATTAACGTTTAGAGAAGAAACTTTATTTACCAGCAGCACCAGCTTTGCATATGCATCTCGGGAGGTAGCTACATCAAAAGGAATGTGAGTATATGCTTCATCAAGCAACATGATCAGGCTTTACCTTGATAAAGGAGCTAGTTATCGATTAAGCGCAACAGCAATGAAAGTAGGATAACAGTGCGACGCTATAAATTTTCGCAAATACTTTTGTACATGGGTCGCTCACGGAGTAATATCGTTTAAAATGATACTCACCAAGGCTTTTAAAGGCGTCAGCAATCTAAAAGTAGTATGATGGGAGAGAGAGAAGAGACGTCTGGGAGTGTGACAATAGGCGACAACATCTTTGTTTATATGCGCATGGCGGTGTAGGTATTTCTATGACCACCAAAATGACGAAAGAGTGATAAAGTGTTTGTTGGGAATGACGATAACCTGATAGATTGTTGGGTCGCCTACACGCAGAGCCTTGACATGATTGCATGTCGATGCATAAATCAGAATCTGAAATAAACAAGCTGGCAACACCCATCATCAAACAATGACAACAATCAAATCACTTGCTGTGCTCAGATCCCATAAAACAAGACGTTCTTCGAGGATGTATGTATGATTATTCGTTTCAGAAGGGGGAGTAAGCGGTATCTTCATGGATAAACATAATGCACACGGTCACCATAACCCCAACATCGGTATAAGGGTGATATAAACAACCGCTGTTCCGTTTGCTATGCATATTTTCAATGATAATAATACATAAGCGGTATTTGATAGCAACGATCTAAGCCAGGATTTAGGGAAGTCCAATAGCACCAAATGCAAATTTCGACTTGAGTTGATGAGTACCGTTTGTTATTATCGTTGACTCCACGCATGATATGTTATTGCCACTATCTACCACCACTCAAAACAGCCATTGCTCCACCCATAGTTTTCCTTCCTGCGCTTTCCTTTACCGTTACAGTCAGTGGGAGTGGATCTTGGGAAATCTCGGGTAACAATGCGATCCCAAGTGGTAACACAATTTTAAGTTTCAGAACGTGCCGATCCACCCACCTGATTTCATGTGACCTAAGTATGTAGTGGTAGCCTGTACAACAACTCGGTTTACTCGTACCATTGCGACACGGTTATACGGGATATATAAACAAGGTTCTGCAGGGAAAATGCTCTTTCTAATAGACCATGGATTGTGGGTTTATATTATAACGTTAAGAGGCCAATCGTGATTGTTAGGCGCGTGAGTCATACCCGGCTAACCCCGAAACACAAAAAGACCTCCACAGGTTAGTTCCTGATTGTGTCTCTTTCCCTTTTTGTTCCACATTACCATGTCTTCCACTGAGACAGCACAGAAGCGTGAGTCGCTATAGAGTTATCATTAAAGCGATTCCAGTGTCTTATTACGCGTTCATTAGCCTTGCCTTTCCACTTTCAATTCTTGGCTGGTGCCATTGCTGGCATTTCCGAGATTTTGACCATGTACCCGTTGGACGGTAAGAAACAACATGGTACGTTATGATGGTCGGCTTATTGATACATGTTCACAGTTGTCAAGACTCGTGCCCAGCTTAGCACTTCAGGAAACACGGGCATTCTTCAGAGCTTGAAAGATATTGTGAAAAAGGAAGGGTAAGGGCATACTTGAGTAAGTCAACGCAATGGAAGATAACGTTATCTCTTAAAAAAAGTCCCGCGACTCTGTACCGCGGTATTGCTGCCCCTATTCTTGTGGAAGCACCCAAACGTGCCACCAAATTTGCCGCCAATGAACAATACACCGCTTTGTACAAGAAACTCTTCGGTATGGAGAAGGTTACCCAACCCCTTGCCATCGCTACTGGTGTCAGTGCCGGTGTAACCGAAGCTGTTCTTATCGTTCCCTTTGAATTGGTCAAGATTCGTATGCAGGATAAAGCCAACGTACGTGTAGTGGATCATGAGAAAAAAAGTGACGTAAAACTAAATAATCAAGGGTAGGCTGCCAAATACAGCGGTACTGCTGATGCACTTCGCAAGATTTTGAAGCAGGAAGGTCCTTTGGCACTGTACAATGGTTTGGAAGCAACAATTTGGCGTCATGCAGCATGGAATGGTGGTTATTTTGGTGTCATCTTTGGTGTTAAGGAGTGGTTGCCCAAGGCAAAGGTAAGGGCTATTAATCATTGGCATTACAACGTCAGACTTACGTTTAATACTTTTTAGAACAAGAATGAGCAACTCGTCAATAACTTCATTGCTGGTACTATCGGCGGTACCTTTGGCACTATGCTGAATACCCCTATGGATGTTGTCAAAACCAGAATCCAGGGCTATACTGGCCAAGGTCCCAAAAAGTACAACTGGACATTGCCATCAATCGCTCTTGTCGCAAAGGAAGAAGGGTATGTTGGATAAGTGAAAAATGAAGATAAGGGTATTAAACCAAATTATAGATTTGGTGCATTGTACCGTGGCTTTACAGCTAAAGTACTTCGTCTTGGTCCTGGGTAAGTGACGATATTCACCAATAATGCACAGAAATTATTTAACACCTGAATTATAGTGGTGGTATCCTTCTGGTTGTCTTTGAGACAGTATCGGGTTTCATGCGCAAGCACTTTATGTAGATCTTAGAAATACTATTTACACAGGATGATTATCGAGCAAAAAGGCTGTATATACGAACAATGTGATCTTCATGGTGAAGAATGCTAACGTGAATAACTGGTCGTTGCAAATCGTCGTCGTATGAAGTGTGAACACATCTAATATGGTTACCGGCTAAGACTTGAACCGTTTTCCCCTGTATATCATAAATCAATATCAATATCCTGTACACAGCTGATGTGAATGTAATAAGACTTACTGTTTCCATATGTCGGATCTCGATCACTGAAGGTGAAAAACCAATCAAATATGGAGAGATGATTACAAGTTTTTGCAGTCGCGCATCAAAACCAACCTTGGGCTGGATCGAAACGGGATTCATATAATCGTGAAAGCAAATATTCCAAGCCGTATGTAGGTCATATGCATATCCTGAATCACGTGAGAATGGCACAAATCCTATCACATTGTCAGGAAATGCTGTGACCTTCTTCCATTCACAACGTCCATTGTGGATTCGTCCAATGCCAAGGCTAGGGGACTGCAAAAACACCGCATCGTATGCAACTTGAATATGGTATGTATCGCGAGACTCCAATCGGTATTCCTTTGCTTTACGGAACCATTCCCCCTTATACTGCATGATGACCAAGAGAGTGCACGATCTTTTTTGTATTAGATAACAAAGGACACGTGTGTTGTAGATAGTGCCAACTGCAAATGATATGACAGATGATCGATGAATGTAGCCCCATCGGTGATGTGAACCTGTCACAGATACTTGTTGGATATCGTATGCCATTAGTGCAGAGCGCTTTGTGCGTACCACCAGAGCCGTATTATCCAAAATGGCCAGCTGTCTACAGTCTTCTTGGGCAACTGCCAGCTGAAATTCATGTGATACGCCATCACGAGGACCAATCCATATACCATACTGCGTCCCAAGAGCGAGCATAGATGAGCCGTCCGAAAGATCTACTTGACTTTTGCTTCAGCTAGAGCTAGTAAATGTGTCATTTCAGTTTGCCATACCAAAAGGTAGAGTGCACCATATCCGACCACAGCCGGTGGGAAACATTGCACTACCTCCAACTACAATAGCGGACTGGCGATTGCTGGATCCAGTAGCCACCTCACATAACGGGCTCAATGAGATAGGACCACTGTTAATTTGCACGTCTTGTATAGCTTTACATAGTAGCTCACGCCATTCTTCCCTTTCTTCGATCGTAGGGCAAGCAAGGTAAAATGAACAATCGCCGAGTCCAAGATGGGAAAGCGCGAGCATACGGTACCTGGGTCCTGCCCGAGAGGAAGTCGTATTTGGTAAGGTGCGCCGTGCTACAATGTGTTGCTTGCTATCTGATGGTGATGTCTTGGAATGCCGCAAACTGTTCCGAAGGCGGCGAAATCGTGCACGAATGTAAAGACCGGTAACCGTTTGATCTTGTGATGACGATGTTATCACTGGTGCTGCTGTGACAGTACCACCGTAGATACGTGGTAGATTCAGCCGTAACATATGTAATGGTATAGGATGTCCTGCCACTACAAATTCCTCATGCTTACCCGAGAACCGAGGTCGTGTGACCACCACGAGATGTGTAAATAGAAAAACACGACATGGTACCATTGTCCAAGAATGTAGAGAACGTGCTAGCATTAAATTCCCTTCATGCAATAACGATGCGTTCTCAGGGAGAATTTGCTCAAGTGTGGTTGGAATATGATTTGGGATCAAGAGTGTAGACGCGATTCGCAGGCGTTGTGTTTCTACCTCGGCTTGACGTGTCAATTCATTCATGCGTTCCAAAATATCACTGAGTTCTGCCAATGCAGCTCCCAGTGCAAGCTGATCAGCTTCATCTGTAGTGTACTTGAGTAATGCCTCAATAAGCAACTTGTATTTTCCCAGACGAAGCGTTGGTAATGTTAAATAGTGCCGTAGTCCCAATCGTCGAGTATTTGTATGCGTATTTTGTTCTTCCAAAAAGGTCCCAAAACGTGGGCTCCTGTTTGCTTCTACTGTGGCGACAAATGTTGCTTTCATGTGGTTGGCTGCGTATGTCACATAGGGATCCATCAAACGAGAAACATGATTCCAAATGACAATGCCGATCGACCCAACGTATAAACCGCTAATAGGATCCTGCTGCTCTAATAATTCTTTGTAGCCTTGGGAGTGTAAATCGTGAATCGCTTCATAATTGCCGAATACGATATCATGGAATTTTTGACGCCTGGTTTCTTCAATGACCGCTGATGAATCAAGCAATGGTTGTGCATAAACTTCGGAAATGATTTCAAGGTCATGACAGTATTGTTTCTCCGATACCACTATTTCTTCAATGGCATTCTGGCGTTTGTACTCTTCAGGTGATAAAGCGCTCGTATCCTTAAAGAAGTGTTTCTATTAGTACCCAACTTTATCATTTGTGCCCACCAAGATTTACCAAATTGCTATGTGCTTCATGGTTAGAAAAATGCAGATTGCCACCTTTGTTTGGGCAAGATGGTGCGTAACACAGCTGATGTTGTGGGCTACAACGCGGAGAGTAGCAACTGGCCAGTGGCACAAATACACCTTGAATGGAAGACGGGGGACTCCTGTTGACCAGATAAAGTCGTTCTTCTCGATAGAGAGCAAGGCACTTGTTATCAATGAGTGAAAGTATAATATGTTCGATTGCCGTGCTGTTGTCCGCCATGCTGGTATTACGTTCGGCTACTATGTCACGAATGACATCCTGGTATCATGTTGTAATTCCTAGTAAGTTACGAGGTTTGGTTCCTTTTCTCTGGGGAAGGGAAACGGTACATACCGATAATTTATTCCTTGATATTGTTGGAGAGCTTAATAACATTGTTATCCGAGACCACAACGATGATAGTAAAGCATTATGTATTATCAGCTCATCCTTTTTGTAATAGCACGCGATGTCGCTGCTCTTAATAGTGTCATTCCCTCAAAGTTACTTAGTGGAAGTATCAAGTAAAACAATCATGTACTTACAGATGCTTCTGACATAGCCAGTATAAGAAAGAAAGAAAGGGAAAAAAACAAGTACTAAAACTTGAGAAAGATATACCACATGTGATATGGGATAAACAAGCGTCATGTGTCTTGCATCAAAAAGGAAATACCCTTACTATGTATTCTATGCTATGCAGTATTACAATGAAACCAACTATGCTAACACACTCCTCCATGGTATAAGTCCTAGAATCTGACTTATGAATACAACGTGCAGCCTGGGCTTGAGATCTCAATTTCTCATGCCTCGAGTGATCTGGAGACAAGGCTCGCGTTGCAGACGTCACAATATCCTCATCAAAGAGAACCGTTTATAGTTCAAAAAATCTCTAACGAAAGGCATGAGCCTATAGATGTCCTCTACTACTGGAGTAGGCAATAGATTCTACTATAGTAGTGGCCCGTAGTTATAGCTTTCAACGCTTCGTTGAAGGTTTGAATGGTTATAACAAAATGCATCGTGCCCGTTCGTACAGTACTAGTCAGTGGTTTGCTGTTGCAGGATGCTGGTATCAAACGTACATTGGGTACGACCACGAGCTTGGCAACAGTTTTTGTGTGCTGATACATTCGGGGTAGAGAAAGAGAAGGATGGCATGACTGGGTCTGATTGTGGAGGGTTGCCAGATGCAGTCCAGTCACATGGAGAGTGAAAAATAGGCTTGTTGTCTGCTTTAGCGTATTTAATTCTTTCTTCACCCAAAATACACACATACAAAATGGACCGCCGATTGCAGCAACCCGAAGACGAGCCTACTTTCGGCCAAGCACTTAAAGCTCAATTGTTCGCTCCTGAGGTTCGACAGGGAAATCTTAACATCGCTTTGTCATTGACCGTGTTCGCTGGTGCCGTTGTCTTCTTGCGCAACTTTGGTGATTTGTTGGCTGTCTAAAAAGTAATTGATAACGACGTTTTCACTGTATTTTCGAAACGCTTACAGTGTGCGATATGTTTAGGTATAATATATGTAAATGTATTAGAAGCGTCTTTGAGCAAACTATACTACAAATACAACCGGTGTTGCGGCTGCTCATCTATGTAAACCTTGCTCTTGTCATATCCCAGCCGAGCAATATCAATTTTTTTCAGACCATCTGCGTATGCATCAACTGTTTCGATTGTAACAATGTGTTTTCCAAGATACGATTCTTGCAGACTGAGCAATACATAACCGGGAATATCATGGATTTCACACTAGATGAGGAGGATTGTTATTAAGTAAGCATGTGAGAGTTGAGAGGAGAGTACTTGCATAGGAGATGAGAGCAGCAGTCAAGTCTTGGATCATATTGGGAGGTTCAAGTTGGTCTCCAATCTACGATGAGAAAACATGTTTGAGCACAACAAAACCTTATGCAGATCAGTCAACAATTACTTACCAAGATTTGCGTATTGGATGATTGCAAAACACGCAAAAATGGAGGATTGATATCACGAGTATTAGAGATATAATCTGCTCCTGCCAAGCTATCCAGAATGATAATGCTAGATAGAGCCATTAGCGTGTATTGCTTTTTCCCTCGTTCAATTAACTCCCACCTCTTCAACTTGGACAAACCAACAATCGATTTTGCCATGGCTTGAACTTGCTCACGCTCCACCTTTTTCTTCAAAGGGATACAGAGAACATCTTCCAAGATTTGCAGAATAGGACAACCCTAATCATGTAGCTCTCTCTATAAGCAAGCTTGGCCTTATAATAAAACCCGTATACCCCTGCTTACATTGATATCACCGATATGTTGCGTACTACAATTCATTGCTTCGATATATGCACTACCTGGACCCTGCATACCGACAAGAAGAGTGATTGGTTGGGATAAAGTGCAGGTCAAATTGACGTTGATCGGATGCGAATTGGGCTCCACCTCGTTCTCAACATCGCTATCATCATTGTCAAATGCGTAGCGCACTGGAGCTGAAGGAAAAGGTTCGTCGAAATCCTGTTATTTTTCTAGTTAAAAAGACTGCAAAACGCGTGCGTGTATCTCTTTGCAATACTATGTACCATGGGAATAGTCAAGCAATGGGCGTTGTCGGGGTGTTGGAGACGCGCGTTTGGAGCAATGTACTTTGGCTGCCATGTCCCGCCCAATCAGGGTGCATTATGCGGGTCCTCACAAGCATGATACCTTTTTTTTCCACATTTAGCATACAACAAACACTAATAGGATGGCGTTTACAGTGTGGATGTATCATCTCATTGCTTAATATTATCTATGGTTGTGTATCCCAGCGTGGAGAGAAACCTTGCTGCATCGGTACTGGATTTATTAATGGATTTTACGTAGGTTCGAAAAGGTATCTTACAAAGGAACAACCGACTACATTTGAATGTGCTGCCCCTGATGTTACAAGGATAGGGATACGAAGATACGAGAAGGTACTGAGCTTACCATAGACCACCCCGATATTGTGCGTGGAGATGTGCTCTTCGTTCTGGTTCAAACACTGGCGACAATGCAGGATATGGGTAGGCATGAGGATGGACATACTCTTGCAAGACATCAAAGGGGGCATTTTTGAGGTCTTCAACACGGACAAAGATAGGCCGCGATAGGGGATCATTGTTGTCGCCGATGACGAAAATGGGAGGATCAATACCTTTCTTAGACGCGATATCCAAAGCATCGAGGGCTTTTCTCAACGATGTGGCCATAGCATCATCCCCAATGTACAATGCGTTGTCAAACAAGCCCAAGGATTTCTTGGTGGGTTTAGAAGCACCAGGAGTCATTTGACTTTGCATTATCATAGCCAGGAGGATCACCACGCAAATAGATAGTACGATATTTTTCAATTGATTTTTGAAGAAATAAACCGTGCGACGAAAGATGTTGCAGAATGTGAGATAAAGAAATCTGCAAAGTAGAATAACCCTAGCCATGACAAGGTTTACGACTTGAAAGGGCGTGGGCCGGGGTAGCGGATCCATACTTGAAACTTGAATAAAACTAAGGACTTTAAGGACGAATTCGGTGGGCTTTATATAGAGATCAGAATGAGGAAGAGTACACGTAAATGGAACATTGTTTGCCAATCATCAATTACCTCATTGTTCACCCAACAATGACTAGTAACATCCCTTCAAAGACTGAGTGTGCTTAGAAACGGGTAATAGATGCATACATCCTAGATCTAAGCTGAACCTGGGAATATGCTATATAGTTACATACTGTACCTAAATAAGTCTTTGCTCGATTACAGAAATTCTGAAGTAAGCAACTGCTCCATACTGTAAATGTACATAAGGGAATGTTGTCCATGGCAAATGATGCCCAACGTATAGAATTCCAAAATTAATGGCCGATGGTATTCAAAGTACAGTTCTTTGTTTCTGCCAAGCGATTCTTTGTCTCCTACTAGCAATGAGCCCTTCTACTGCTGCTGCTTCTATCAGTTTTGTTATTGTGAAATAAACATGACCCTCCCTAAATGGTGTGTCGTTATTGTACATCAGCAAAGATTCCTTGGATAAACAAAAATTAGAATCACACAACAAGATAAACGTCCTTCCTTGTTCACGGGAAGCCCACATTCACAAGCAAAACCAAGCCTGTGGGAATATCAACTTTATCACAGTGAGCAGTAGTGGTAGTAGTAGTATAAAGCAAAGAAGTGAATCGCGCTTAGGCTGCATAAGGCCATACTTGTGCAATCGAGCATTTGTTCTAATCATTTTGGCTGGAAACCTAAAATTATGCAGCACCTATATTCAATCCATAACACAGTAGCCCAATGCCAACGACCAACGGCTTGAAGGTCCCCAACTTCATATCCCAGATTTTAATGGCAAAAGATAGAATTTAATCCTCTCTCCATGATACATAAACTTCATCTGTACGGAAGCGTTGAGTACAGTTGCTCTTATCTAATGGTGTACAATATCCGGTGTGATGAGCCAACAACCCTGCGTGTGCAATCATGATGCCATTATCAATGCAAAATCTACCAGAAGTTGGCTTTTAGTGTATACGATTGCCCATTCAACTATCCCTACACTTACCGTTCATCCATAGCACACACTTGGCCACCACGATCTTTAGCCATCTGTTCCATCATTTCTTGCAAACGAATATTACCTATGGAACCAGGTGAGATTGTTTTCATCTTCCAAGAAATACGTATGTATATAACCACTTACATCCTACACCACCGACAATCAAAACTTCCTGAGATTCCACATGGGCCATGGCACGTTCGGTAATTTCCACCAGCATAGCGAATAAGGTCTCTTGCAACGAAAAGCATAGATCTTCAGGAGTTACTTGTCCGGTTGGAAGTTTTTCCTTGGCAACCATTTCAATGTGGGATAAGATACCAGAAAATGACACATCCATGCCTTTCACAGTGTAGGGTAATGGTATATAGTTCTTTCCCCTTGTAAATCAGAGGAATTAGTACGTTGAATACTGTGAATTGATATCTCTTACCGCTTGGCATATTGTTCAATGTTGTATCCGGGACTTGGATCGTTGGATAAGTTGAGGATTCTTGCAAATCGATCAAGACAATTTCCAATAGCAATGTCCAATGTCTCGCCAAAAATGCGGTATCGATGCTGCGAATAAGCAATTACTTGTGTATTGCCACCACTGACGTATAAAATGACAGGATTGGAAGCGCCCGTCACCTCGCGTCCCATCTCAATATCTAAACATGATCGAGCGTTAATAAGGATATTCAACGTTTTTCATGTACAACTTACGTCCTATGCAATGGTTGACACCCACTAGCGGTTTGTCCCAAAGTAGCGATAGCGTACGGGCCACCACCGCCACCGATGTCAACGGTGCTCCCATACCAGGTCCTGTTGTTTCCTTGTTGTCAGCCAGCCATTAAGACATGTCTGTATCCTATTACTGACCCTTTGTAAAGCATATGACGTCAATGTCTTCAGGTTTCACTTGGGCCTGATCCATTGCTTTTTTCATGACAGCGAGGATACAATCACGGTGATGCTGTGCCGTGTCCCTTGGAAGGAAACCTTCACCCGGTGGCGTGATATACGTGTCTCGAACGTTGGCTAAAATGTCGACTTTGGCTCCAATGTGGCGTATAATACCAACACCGAGCTTGTTGGCCGATCCTTCAAAACCAATTGCGATCGTCATGGGAAGAGAAAAGGTTGGACTGAGCTCCGCGGGGCGATGCAGCAAGCAACTATGCACTTTTGTAAAGCAGATCACATGACTCAAGCAATGGAACCTGGTTAGTTGTACATCACCTGATGCGCCCTACCATATTGAACTCTTCGTGTGATGCATAAACTACTTTTATATCTTATTGCCTCCTCTGTTTGTGTGAAATATACTATATGGATTCACTTGGGAATCTACATTTAATAAGCAACCGTATGTCTCGTGCTCATCCTTTTCGTTGATATAACGATATAGGCCGAATAAGTTTGAAAGTGTTGACGTGTGGTGCTTAATGCTTTGCTCTGCTTTCGTCCTTCATGTTGACCCACAGCACTTGATTGGCCTTCTGGCCTTCACATTCTTACACGTAAGCAAGCTTCCTCACAGGTTTCTTTCATTCCTTCATATCGTATAAAGCAACCTTCAACCTTCTCTTTACACTTTTTCTCATATTACATACCACGATGCATACAGCAACAACAGTGACAATACAAGCTGCCTTCTCCTTTGTTCGTCTCTTGCAAGTTCTACCTTCGCACTGACTCCACAACGTTAACATTTGCACGACGAGGCACAAGCAGTTACGGCTAAAACACGTCAGCAACACTCGATGGCAACGACCGGTCACTGTTGAAATGCGTGTTTTGCGTATCGCCTATACAGGGGGTGTTGTTCAAAGTACGATTGCGCATTAATGCCAGGTGACGCTTGATTGCTGATATCAAAGGTGGTCCGATCATTCTCGCTGCTTATTGAACACGCGTACCAATATTGAGAGTAGGTTGACAACATGGTGAGTCACCTTTGTACGATGGTGATGTGCATTAGCCGTACAAGAAGTGATTGATTTCCTTAATAGATTTTATCATCTACTACCTTAATTTGGCCGATCTATGCGTAGACAACATTACACGTAGCCTCCTCAGATTTAATCATGGTATATGCTCCCATCACTTTATCAGTCCATGCATCGTTTTATCAAAGTATCATACCATGTTGATTTCCAAGACTCGAACAGATGTTATATGTTGTTCCTCTCGTGTTGTATGTCGTGCCTCTAATTACATGCCGTTCCTTTCACCAAAGGGGCTAAGACAAATGTATACATGTATATAGCAAGATGGTTAAGCAGCAAGAGTTTGCCAAAGGCTTCTTTATAAAGAGTGTATTTCTAACTATGCCTAAGCGCTTTAATGTAAAGGATATGATTGGGCATCTGAGGGATACCGGGTTTAAGTGCTAAAATGATGAAGGGATGCCGTTCCCCCCCCCCCCGATTCAGAATATGTCGTACACCTAGCAATGCTCTTCAATGCAGACTACTGTAGACATCGCTTACCATCTAATATGATTTTGTGTAGATCCCAACCTATGCGGACCATAGTATCACCCTTTTGAAACCTATAGTCGTACATCACGTTGCATAGAAAGCTGATAGGATAGCTGTGAATCGTCTTGCGTAGAATAGATAACTCCCAATTATTGTCGTATGTAATAACATCCAATGTCATGTCACGTGAAATACTCTGCATTTCCCATCATCATCATTCATAATATGCTATCAACAAATGCCAGGATCTATTCGCTTTTTTGATATTGATGGTGTCGTATCTAGGTTACTCGTCCTGTTGCTTTTCGAGTTCACGCATACGTCGCTTGTAACTATAGTCACGCGTTTAAGTCAAACGTCTTTATATACCAAACTTGTACTTACTCATCGTATTGGCACTTTTCATAGGCATGACGCTCGTTCTCGCACTTCCATGGAAGATAGAAAGTTTCGCCTCGGCACTTGTTGAGTGGGATGAGAAGATGGGCACAGTAATCCCGATATTCCAAAGGAATGCGAGACTTGTTCATATCTTGTTGGCTTGCCTTCATTTCTGTTGTAGATTAAAGTCAATGCGAACGTTGTAGTGAATGGGTTCGTTTTCGTTTCTCTACCTTGAGCCATGGCGGTAAGAATCTGTGGGTTGGTTTGCTTTGTACCGCCAGAAATTGTTTTTGACCTCTCAGTCCCACTGCTGTCGAGATTCGGATGTGACGTCACATTGTCCCTGACTTCATGACAAGAAGCTTATGCCCCATTCCCAACTTTATATATTCGACAATCATTTTTTTATTTACCAAATGAGTGTAGACGAGGGGGGAGATCATGCAAAGTCATAATCGACCGTGGTTTTGTGCTACCATCTTGATCAGATTGCATAGAAGGTGTATCTTCATATGAAAGTTTTCCTGCATAAATATTGTGAGCCTGTGTCAATCGTATGATGCAACATTAACTAACCTCTCTCAAGCAATAATGCGTTCCAACCAGCGTTAAGAGCTCCTGCACCATGTTGATTAGTATATACAGGATCCCAACTACCGTACATGCAACCATCATCTGATACCTTTATAATCAGCATTAAGATCGTCGCCTACGTGTAATGCTTGATCAGGCCGCGTCGGGCTGTATGGATGCATTATTCGTAAAGCCTGATCAAATATCTCTTTTTTAGGCTTCTCATAACCAGCACGGTAGCTGGGTAGCACAAAATCAAAATACGGTCGTATGCCCAGATTATGCAACACGTCTGCTGCATGAGTTATACATATACAAGGTGAGAAAATAATTCGATCGTTTCAAAGTATATCATGTACGTACACAATCGTTCATCTGAATTACTAATAACACCCGTTGAAATACCTTGCTTTTTGAGATAAACAAGAGTATCATGTACGTCAGGGAAGGTCGAATAACCACGATCGCTTGTGAAGCGTTCGTACAAGGAGTTAAACAATAAATTGAACTTGGGATCCAGCTCTGAGGTTGTTGAGATGATTGCATATTTACAAGCTAACCAACCATCCGCCTACCTTTCTTTGGAACTCCAGCAGAAACAAATGTGTCGTATACCAATTCTTCCCACCATTTGCGAGGATTCATGCCTTCTTGGAAACCATAGAATGGATGACGTGTCATTTGATCCTTGTATGCTCGCCCAAATACTTTGGTTAACCTATCTCGGCATACATGGATCCCCAGTTGTGACGCTTCGTGAATCTATAATCCAATTTTATAGCATTCTGACTCGATGCAGCTCTGGCAAGAACTCACATACTGTGCAGTGGTGCTACCTCTTGGTTTAAAGAGTGTGTTATACGCATCAAAGGTGATAAGTTTAATCCTAGGAAACATCCGTATAAGACAAAGGCAAGAAAATTCGCCTATGTTATTACTTTATGGATCATTTTAATTTGTTTCATGTGGCAAACATAGGTGTTTCATTTCAGCTATAGCATGTCATTTTTTACCGGAAGAGGAAAGCAGAGAGAGAGAGAGAGAGAGAGAGATCTTGAGAATTTCAACGCATGTAGAATGAGTTATCCATGATATAAACTTTATTCCCATAAGTGACATACAAGAAGTAATGACGCTAGTAAAGATGATGCAAGGTTTTATTATAGCCACTGATGCTCCGGACATAATAAAGTGTACGTAAAAAGCTGACAATGATAAGGAGGAAGAGACAAAGTACGTGCATCATACTCTAAGGTCGTCCTACCATGAATCTTTTCACGCCCCTGTGGACGACACGATTAGAGCAGAATCTGGGTGGATGGTATGGCGATTCCTACATTTACCTCTTTTTGGCCCTTCCTGATGCATCTTCTTCTCCATAGATAGCCATAGGTTGGTGCCTTCCACGTACATTGCTGTTTGCTGGATCGGAAGGAAAGGAGGAAGCAACATCTTCCATGTTGTCTTTTCTCGCACGAATGGAACGACGTACTTGCTCAACTTGATTGTCATATTCTTGGCGTTCATTCTGGTTGTTCTTCAATGCGTCATTCGCTTCTCGAATTTGATTATCAATGGATTCCAGAACGAGGCGTGTTTGAGTGGACCAATCTTCAAGTGCTTGCATGGTGCGATCCAGCTGTTCCGGCAAAACATCACGACCCATGGTAGTTTCAACTATCAATTGCTGTGATCGCTGATCGAGTTTGCCGACAATGATGCCTTGATAGAATGTATCGATGATCAAATCTTCAAGCTCACGGACATTGGGTATATCGAGATATTCTTGTAATAGCGTGTATTGAAGTGTCTATGCGATGATACGTCTCAAATGTCAATGATTGTGTTTATACTTCCCTGCTTGTTCATATCATACCCTGCTCGTCTCAGAAAGTGATACAATGGATAAATGCTTCAACTTGGCTTTTTGTGTAGGATTCAATTGTGGAAGCTGTTGTTGTTGTGCTGCCGAGTAGATCGCATTTGTTACACATATGCATCGATGCCATTAGGAAGAGGGAAAAGAGAGCTTACCTGAATAATCCTTATACGTTCCATAAAGAAATATCTTGAGCAAAGCATAATAAGGTGCTACCTCGGGCAGTGTTGATGCCTGTCAAGAAGGGACAATGAGATTTGTTATGCATTCGATTGGAAGCTTGTAGCATACCTCCATCACATTCGGTGCCTGCGCTAACTCTGAAAAGACGTATACACCAGGTGCTGCCAACGCATCACTGATCAACTTTGCATTGGCTGATCCCTTGACCGATTTTGACAAGAGTAAAAAAGGCTGAAGCTTATAGCTAGTGGACAGGTCGCTCATGTTGCAGGAAAAGAAACGGGTTGAGTGAGGAAGACACGGTACGCGAGTTCGCCTCGGCTTGAATTTCCGACGCCTCGTCTTTATGCCTTTATTCAATCCAAACCAAATAATCATCAACATGCCCGTAGGTAAATGCGAGTATCACTTGGGTCAACATTCCACTCTCATCCCTTGAATAGCTTTGAACATGACAAATTGGTTGAATATTGGTTTTTCCATCATGCAAGATAACAATGTATATCAAGTTGAATGATATTCTATAGATGATGGGTCTGCTGCAGTCAAAAATCATCAACCCCAACGCTGACTCCTATCACTGCAATTCCAATCCAGGTGTCCATCCACACTCCGTATCCCAGACCACAACCAAATGCCACCCAAAGGCAAAGCAATTGACATTAGCTCATCCTCGGTAAGTGTTATACCATTGTTCAGCCTTGGAATGCTGACTGGGAGAAAATCGCTTTCAAGGTTGTCGATCTGAAGGCGCAATTGGCGCAGCACACTGAAGAATTTCAACGTATACGAGCAGGAGCGAAATATGGACGAGCTTCCAACCGACCTATAGATAAGGTATTGAGAGGGTTTATCATTATGCATGGAGGTTATCTAACATTAGTATTAGAAACCCACTGTGTGGGCACGACAAAACAAAGGCGTATCATCAAGGTCTAAACGAGACGAGGTGCAGCATATCGACGAGGTCGAGAGCCATTCGCTTGAACGAAGCCGAGAGACGTTGGAACGCAAAGCCAGGTTATATGAAGAGATGCGAAAACGGATACATTCAGATGATGAGGATGATGAAGAAGAAGGATACTTGATTGACTTTGATCGTAAATATTGGGAAGAGGTAAGTAAGAAACAAAGAATGGGGTAACTCGTTATCCATGAGACTAAATGGTTCATTAGAGGGAACATCAAGACACAAAGAAAAGGAAAACAAGAGTGGAAAAGGATATATCAACACCAGAAGTTAATGATGATGATGATCCATGGGTGGAATATGAGGATGAATTTGGACGCACCAGAACAATACGGAAAAGTCAATTACCACAGCAACGAGAACGATCACCATCGCAAAGTCCTTCACGTAGTCCTTCACCGCCACCACCGATGAATGATGATAAGTTTGAGCCTGCAGATCGAGCTAGCATTCGACATTATGATTCTACGAGAGAAGTGCGCACTCGAGGCGTCGGTTTTTATCAGTTTGCACTCGACGACGAAGAGCGTGATGAACAAATGCAAAGGTTGAATGAGATTAGACAAGAAACAGAGATGGCTCGAAAGAATGCGAAAAGTGTGGCCGAGCGAAGGAAGGCCATGTTACAAAAGAACGCTGAGCGAATTCATGCAAGACGTGCACAGCTACAAGCTAAGCGGAGGAATGATCCACAGCAACAACAATCACAATCGCAATCACAGTTTACTGTCAATGAAGAAAGTGTATCCAAGTTTCTGAAAGCTGTCAGGAGTAATTTAGAATCTTGATGAAATATGGCATAAGAAATAAAAACCTCGTCTCGTCGGGATGCACACACACGCTCTTTGATTGTACATAACCCTTTTCTATAATGACACACACACGACCACGCACCACAGCTGAACTCAATAAACTCGGCATTCCAGAATTCAACCCTCACATCAACATTAAGCACTATTTTCGGTCGGCAGAATTGTTACTTCGACAAGCAAGAGTGTATCGAACCGAAGGCGATCTTGAAAACGCTTACGTGTTGTACCTTAAATATACAAAGTATTACTTGTTAACGTCGTTTATATACCACGACAACTCAATGAAGCTTATAGTCTGGGCATCAATGAACTACCAAAGCATCCTGCATACAAGCACCCTGACAGCAAGAAACCGATCAAGATTATAAAGTTGGTAAGGTCTTGGCAACCGCGTTGACTGGGTATCACGTGTTTAATGGATGGGTAGAATTGTCTCGAAGCGCTGGATGCCTTGGAAACTATGAAACCGCGATTGGATGCTGCTTATCACGAACACAACCAACGATTGCAAAGGATGCAAGAGGAGGAAGAAGAAAGTAGGCGCAGAGTATATTCATCCAGCAAGATCCAAGTGGAAGAAGAAAGCAACCACGGGGCATATTCATCCGACAAGATACAAGAGGAAGAGGAGGAAGGCGACAATGACAAGACCTTATTGGAGGAAGAAGATTGGTCAGTACAAAAAGCCTTGAGTGGTGTAGCAGGTATTGGTCATCACAACGAGCAACACCAACAATCATCAAGGTAAGTTGGGTGATTTGTGTGCTTGAATATGCACTAATGGAGGACTATACCTCTAGGCCAGCCGAATTACCACCACTGCCAGCACGATACCCATCGCATGATGTATTTCGCAATCAGAGTGATAGCCGCATCTCCTATGAATCATCATCCATATCATCACCATCACCAGCAGCCCCACCACCACCACTCCCTCCGAAGCCAGCAATGCCACCACCATTGCCAGACAGGACGAATTCAGTATCTCCACGTGCACCAGTATTGCCTCCAAAGATCAAGCTAGAAGAACAAAAGGCTGTTGAATTAGGTAGGGATATTGCAAACGGTTCTGGTCACTGTTTATCTAATGCACTTGTTTTAGCAACAACTGAAAGTGGTGAACCTCTTCGTACATTATATGTGCCTACAGGAATACAAGAACAGTTTTTGAGAATTGCTCGGATCAACACGGACAAAAACATTGAGACTTGTGGTATCCTTTGTGGCTCTTTGGTAAAGGAAGGATATAGATTATGGAAGGATATCAAGTGTATTAACCTTTGGATCGTTAGAAAAATAACACTCTTACGATCACCACTCTTATTATTCCAAAACAATCAGGCACCCCGGATACATGCACCACCGAAAATGAGGAAGAGGTGTTTGAGTATCAAGATACCCATGACTTGTTGACATTGGGCTGGATACATGTAAGATTGAGTTAAAGGAGAGCGAAAGTTATATATACTAAAACGTTGCATGATAGACGCATCCTTCACAATCCTGTTTCCTGAGTTCATTGGATCTTCATACCCATTGTGCCTATCAGATCATGCTTCCTGAAGCCATTGCCATTGTGTGCGCCCCAAAACACGAGCCAAGGTACAATGAAATAGGAAATAGCTTTGTCTGGACCCATTTTTAACATGGTTCTTTAGCGTTGGTGTATTCCGGTTGACAGATCCACCAGGCTTATCACTCATTAGCAATTGCAGGGAGCGGGGTGCTTTTCATCCACATCCTGATAAACCTATATACACTGTAAGTGATGATCATAACGGTTAGCGCATGTCTAACTTTGAATTTGTTGTAAAGGATACACATAATGATACTGGACATGTGCGCATGACCCATGATTCCTTCAAGGTGGTGGATTTAAGGTGTTAAGAATTGTATTAGCATGCATCTGTACCACACATATAATAGATAAAGATTGTTAATTTGAAAGCTTGGGATGAAAGGTTCTAATAGCAAATGGTTCACGTGACTTTTATGCTCAACGGTGTATTACGTATCATTAACCAATATAGCTATAGAGCACTAGTTTTTGATACTGGGCTGGAATAGGAACCTGAAATCATTAGATATGGCCAGCCAACATTTGGGTTTGATCATGGATTTGCTTATTTGCACACGAACACATCTGGCCGACCTTGATCAGTTATCATTGCACGTGTGATCCAGAAAAATATTCTTCGAAGCATTGATGTCGCGGTTCCAGATAGTCTTGCACTTTTGATTTCCACAAATCAAGAAGGAGTTGAGCTTGTAGTCATTGTCGCCGATCTTCAACCTTTTCATGGTTTTGCAATGGGAACGATGACATATCTAATTAAAGAATGAGAAGGCCATGAAAAGATGATTGTTTAATGGAGATAGTTATAGCACGTACCTGTGACATATAATATTCATCTATCGAGGTCATAGCACACCTGCCATCCCTCTCAGCTCGTTGCACACCAGAATGTAAGACACTTGACACACCTGGTCTGAGACCTTTCCATCCTTCTGTCTTCCAAACACCATTTCCCAATGCGATAAGGGGCATCTTGTTCGAGCTTTGTTTGCCTGATACCTATCACTTGTTCTTCACATTGACGCGCCTGTAGGTAGGGAAGCCGTTAAATCACCACCATGGGAGTTGGGGGCGGTTCCCTTGCTATTTGCACCATATCAAATCATGCACCATGTCAATTTCAGCACCCGACGTAGACCATGGCACCCAAACTAAGTTTGCTGTATCGAAAGTAACAAGGTAGCGTGTATGAGTAGTGACTCATCAAGCA